ATAGCACCCTGCATTTCTCTTACAAATCTACTGCACACCCATCTTATGGCCATTTTAATAAAATTATATTATTTCTGTATATCATAATTTTAATAACCATCTTTATGGACACAGTTTTAGAAAGTCTTTAAATTTTGTTGTGATCAAACCTACTTGCTTTTTATTTTGCTGCAAACCAGTTGAGAAACACTGATATTTTTTTTTTCTTTTTTTTTTTTTTGTTTAACTCCAATACAAAAGTATGTGTTTTCTTGAGATTTTTTTTTCTTTAATTTCACATGTTCAGACAATTGTTATCTTTTTTTTGATATTTTTTAAATTTTGTTTTGATCAAATCTACTTTTTTTTTATTTTTCTTCAAACCAGTTGAGAAATCTTTATATTTTTTTTTTCTTTTTTTTTTTTTTGTTTAACTCCAATACAAAAGTATGTGTTGTCTTGAGATTTTTTTTTCTTTAATTTCACATGTTCAGACAATTGTTATCTTTATGATCTTACACAAAATGCTATGTGATGTCACAGTAGTGTTGTTTATTTTCAATCTCTGGTCTGTTATCTTTAAAATAAAAAGGAATCTCATTTTAGCAAATAGACTACTGTAAATTTATACAGTTTATTTCCTCTATAAAATTGTATAGGCTAAAATGATGAATTACTTCAATCTAAGCCATTTGCTTTTTGTGTTGTAATTGTTTACTGAACTGATGGTGAAACATGTAATTGAAAATATTTTAAAAATTGTTTTTCTAATTTTTAGCTGTGTTACAGTTCTGAATTTTTTAAGATGTATATATTAGGTTACACAGATTAGAATTATTTTTTTGAATGCCAAATCAACAGTACACTTTAATTTTTGTAAAAAATTTAGTTTATATCATAATGTGTTATCCTTAAGAAAATATCTTTACTCTAATTGGCAACAAATGATATGAAAATGGTTTTTAACTTGAGATTTATGATGCAGCAGTATCAGCAAAAACAATGCATCAATTCTGGCAATCTGTAGGATATGTTTAATATGCTTTAGCTGCTTATCATGGGCAGATTTTAAGTACAGGTATGCGTTTGTTGATCATTCCAAAAAAATAATCAAATGTCAACAGGACTGGTACAGTGAAGTACTCTAAATGGCATTATATTTATACATATTGTCCTCATTTTATGTTTAAATATTGGATAGTGGGGTTGAGGTTTTTGCATTTTCTTTTAAATTGCGTCTTTGCAACTGTACACCTCGAAACATTTCAACTGAAATTTTAATTATAAGGTACAATTAAGAGTATATTTTATCCACATAAAAGTAGGCTCTTATTAAATTTAAATTAACAACTAATTGCTAATGAATCTCATTCAAGGCTTAATTATTGACTGGAAATATTTTTAAGGACTTAACATCTATCTAAAATTTTTAAATGGCTAAAAGATTTTTGAAATAATCATAACCATTTTTTAATAATTTTTTTAGATGATTGTGTTGCTCCTTTAAATTAAATTTAAAAAATTTGTGGAAGTCTATTTGGTAACATACAATAAACTGATGGAATTTTGTTTTTAAACTTTAAAAAGTCACGCAAAAGCATTTTGATTTTTAAATGATTTTTTAATTTTCATATTATTTGTTTTTATTGAGGCCAGTTTTGTTGCTGTCTAAAATTTCTTGATGCAAACAACCATTTTCTAAAGAAATGTTAGCTAATTTTTGAGTATATTACTGTATGACATGCTTTATTATCAACAATTATTCACAAATATAGACTACCTCTCATAAAAAATTGTTCACTTTGCATCTTATTGTCATAGAATATTTCATGTTGAACTTGGCAGCCCCATTTTGTATGTCCCTGAACTGAAGTGTTACACACTTTAAGTCATTGTGCTTTACTGTAGATCTTTCAAAATTGGGGTCATTTTTTTTTTTAAAATGGCATGTGCAGCTTTTTTAAAAATTAAATAAATTTATTATTATTGATCTGTTGTAAATATACATATATATTTTATGTGGTTTTTTTTTAATAGCTGATCACAGAAAAAAAATTGCTTTACTTTTTTACAAAATAAAATTTCATAAAAACAAAACCCCAACTCTGTATCTTATCAGACAACTACAAAAAGCTATAGACCCAATTGGAGAAACATGAGTTGTATTTGTCGTAATATGATATAGAGTGCCCTAGCGTAATCTTAAACTATTTAGGCAGTAACAGTTAACATCTTGGCAAAAAAAGTTGTTAAATTACATAAATAATAATTCTGAGTCATTTAATTCTTTGCAGAAATGTTTAATAAAAATTTAAATGACATTTTCATTTTTTAAATTGTATGAGTCTGGTGTTAATGTACTTTAACAAAATATGTTGTTGTATTTTTAAAGTAATTTGTTATAGAATTGTAATTACCTATTCAGTGGTGTAGCCAGTTTGCACTAATTCAAATTTAGAAATAGAAGAGCGAAAAAAGGGTACGGTAGTTGGAAAAAAACTTTCTTTGCAACTACTGCTCCTTTCTTCATCTTATTGAACATTAAAGACACACCCAATCAAACCATGTGTTGTGTGAATTCCTTTCCATTTGTCAGTATGTACCAGTGTTTATTGATTCTACTTTTCAGATTAGATACATGGCAGGAACACACAAGGGACATTTAATAGCATTATGCCTGTGAGCTGGGTTTGAACAATTTTTTGAAGTAAGCCTTATGAGTTTGAGACTCAAATTGTGTACACTTAGGTGTAAGTCTTGTAAAACTCTCAGAAAACTATACAGCAGTGTATAGGACGATCGCCAATAGATCTGACCAGGACCAGCTGCAACAGGATCTCAATCTGTTAGCTGAGTGGGAGATGAGCTGGGACATGGAATTTCACCCTGCCAAGTGCCAGACACTATCAATCTCTAGAAGTTGTACTCCTCTACACTACCAATACAAACTGCACGGCCATATTCTTGAGCAAGTTTCCTCCGTAAAGTACCTGGGTGTTACCATTCAAAGAGAGGTCCGCTGGGACGAGCATATTAACAATGTATGTAACCAAGCAAACCAAGCCTTGGGGTTCTTAAGGCGAAATCTAAAGATTGGCAACTCCTGTGTGAAAGAAAGAGCATATAAAGCCTTTATCCGTCCGATTTTAGATTATGCATCTTCAGTCTGGGACCCATTTACCCAGAAGAGCATTGACAGGTTGGAGGCGGTCCAGCGACGAGCAGCACGCTTTGTCCTAAACCGCTACAGGAATACCTCTAGTGTTGGCAGCATGCTAGAAACACTAGGCTGGTCACCATTGGAGAAACGACGACGACAATCCAGGCTCTCCATGATGTACAAGATAAATAATGGGCTGGTCCACTGTTCCAGTATTAAACAGAAACTCGTCCCTCTCCCCCATAGACAGCGACGAGGCCATGACAGGCAATTCAGGCTCATACCAGCAAGAAGCCAGTATAGGAGCTGCTCATTCCTGCCCAAGACAATCAGGGACTGGAACCATCTTTCAAAAGGAACAGTTGAGGCGACAACACTAGACACATTTGTGTCTATTGCCTCAAGCCTTCAAACCCCTAGTGCATAATTTCCTCATCACCACCAGTAACAGAAACATTGCAAATCCCATCTACATGCATAGGAGCCAAAATGATCAATAAATTGATCGTGGGCCCTTAAGATATAGAAGAAGAAGAAGAAAACTAAGGTCTGTTAAATTGATCAAACAATTTTGAGCAGGTGTGTACAAAACTTGCGTAAAATTAAGTGGCCAGCACATTTTTTTTTCTGCAACATTTTATTAGAAATAAATGTAAAAAGTTCAGGCATCAAGTTAAAATTTGCAGGAGTTAAGGCAGCCATCTTGTATTTGTCAAACCATGGAATATAAGCATACTCATCTGTAATTTTGCATTCATTCACTGTAGGTAGTGGTATGATTAAAATGATGATACCAATGCTAGCTAGCTCCACATGTTATCTTTCTCAGAGGAGGTGAATTGACCATTTGAAACAGGATTTATTAATGCATTTTTTAAAATCACCCATGCAGATTAGAAGAAAAGGAAAAAGCATAGTTTATCTGCTGAATTCATGAAATGAGCGAAACAAAGGATGGGAAAACCTGTGAAAGGATGCAACAGAACAACGAACATATCGGCAAGAAGCCTTCAGCGAACAAATAACAGTAAAAAATATAACATTAAAATAAACAGTTGCAATGTGTAATCCTAGAGGACAGCAAGAGAAATGTTGATAGAAGACATGTAGGTGAGAGAGTTAATACAGATAAATTGGGACAAACGAGATGAAAATAAGTCCACTGCGATTGGTCGCAACAAGGAGGGGTGGAGAAAAGGTTAAAGTGAATAAGAACATGACATTCATTCCATGTGGTGTCAGGGTTCCAAAAGTCTGAATCAGTTTGTTTCCAAGCTCACTTGCTTTGGCATGTTTGTACAAGACACAATGGCAGTGATAGCAAAAGCCTTTGTGGTCGCTTCTATTTAAGTGTTTTAGATGGGACACTGCTTATCTTGCACAATATTATGAAGGTGTTCAATAAATCTGTCCGAGAGGTGGCGTCACTTCTCACCATCTGGCAGGGGGTAAAAACAGTGGTATAGACAAAATTGCAGATAATACAAAGGAAACTGTCCCTTTTCGGAAAATTACCCTTAAGGTGATGGAAACACGTTGAGTCTGGATGACAAAATGTAAATTTTTTTAACAGCTGCAACTACATGACTTGGTCCCAAAGTGGGAGGGGGCAGTGTGGATGCGACTCCACACAAGGAGATAATGCAGATTTTATCTATTCTAAACCATAGTCTCATATATCTGCTGCAATCATAGTCTATCTTTACTGTTATCTTGATCATTTGAGACCATAAAACCCATTGAAACATAAATTTAAAGCAATCATTAAAATACACTTTCTATGATAAATTCTTTAAAAAATCGTTTTATTTAAACACCTAATTCTGTTATACTAATCCAGATTCAGACAAGAGAAAACTCATTAAGAGCGATACTGCTTTTATTTCCATTTGACATATCTCTCAAAATAACAAAACTACACCAGAAATACAAATCATGGGAATATTAATGGGTTTTTTTTCTTTTCATAAATTCAAAGATTACATTTATGTTAAAGGAGAGAAAATATATGGTTTGAAATGCATTGGATTTATTTATTTTTTTAATAAAAAGCTTTCAAAATAGTTGTAACCCACAATTATGTTTTAGAAAAACACTCAAAAGATTTTGAATGATATACAGTATAATTAAAATGGACTTTGATTTATAATATAATTTTTCCAATACACAATCTAACCTTTGTATGAATATTTTTTTAAACATAAATATAATGTACATGTGTGTTTAAACAAAATTCTACTTAAAATAGATCATCTAAAAAATAAATGCCCCTATCGCCATTTAAATAAGTTGATTTGTTATTGGAATTGTCTTTAATATATAATTATATTAAATGAGGTTAATTTGTATATTACAATCCTGTATTGGTGAACTTCTTAGCTATTTCATTACGGCAGCTATAAAATCCTTGAAAAAAGAACCAGTGCATTAGTTAACACTTTTATTATCTACTTTCTAGCAAGTAACAAAAGCAACTAAATTTTTTTACCTAATAACTTTTTGTATTAATGAAGATTAAGTGTTGAATTACTTTCAACAGTATTTACAATGCAACTGTTGCCATGAAAGCTTATTTATAATAACATTGTTTTCTTATTGAGTAAAGAGAAAGTTAATGGAATGAAGAACAGACTGATGAAAAAATGTTAACAAAATTAATTTAAGTATAAAAAGTTTGAGTGAGAGATAATATCACATTTGAAACGGTATTACAATAATATAATAATATGTGGATCTTTATTTAAAGAAGTGCATTTTCAAAAATTAAATCATAAATAGAATTTAGGCCATTTGTATATTATTAAATTAATATTAGAATAAAAATGTTAAAAAATCAACTTCAAGTATAAAACGATAATTTAACTCCAAATTGGTTAAAAGAATGTTTTAATTTTTAAAATGGTTCATTTTGGGTTTTTTAAATGCTGATCTGAGACAGGGTGTGAGAAATCAAACTTAAGGATGTTATTTACATTTTTTATACAATAAGATGTTTTTTTAAAGTTAGATCATTAATAAAATAATTCATGCAATGCCTTTCAAATTATCTAGATTTTCCAGTGTTAGCTGCTGGATGGCCCTTTCAATATGAGTTTGAAATATCCTTACAAACAGTTGCACTAGTAACCCTAACAATATTAATTGAATTCAAATTCTTTTAAACTGGAAGACTTGCATTATTAGCATGCTAACTAAAGACATACAGTTACAGCATTATTGCTCTTTGAGACAAGTATACATTAATCAAAATATCACTCCAGAACAATCAAATTATGTTAATCAAACATACATTTAAGGTTAAAAGTACTGGCAAACAAAATGAATGATGATGCAATTAATGATATGGTAACAGTTCTAACTTCCTTTTGTTTAAATTTAAAAGATTCAGTCAGTAAAATTTGATGCTTTAAAATTAGAATGTAAGTAAAGCTAGACTGTTAACACAATTATAATTTTATCACTTATTAATAAGCCAATGAGGTATTTGGTTATTACAAAATTTGTAAGGGGTTAAATCATCTAATTAATTTTAAAAAGCACTGCACTTAAAGCATACAAAAGTAATTTTAGATACTGGTTTTTTAAAGTTAAGCATTAAAAACAATTAGATCTGATGTTATTTGAGGATTTGAAAATCACCAAAAGAGACATTGGGGATGGCAAATATGGATGGTATATATTTAAGAAATCTAACTTATAATAGTATTCTAAAACTATACCTTTATTTCAATAGAGTGACATTTTTTGCAAGCCAAATTCACAGACATTTGACAAGCACTTGTTACCTTGTAACTTAACATCCCAAGACCATCATTTCCAGAAAGGACAAAGTTTATAATTTATAGGGACAGATTTATCAAAATCATAGTGTTAGAGCATATTTAGAATCTTAAAAATCACAAATTATTACAAAAGATTATGTGAAGAAAGTTTACCATTAAAAATTAAATTTACTTCTAGAAGCCATTTTTATAATATTTTATACCGGTATGCGATTTAAAATTGCTGTAAGTTGCAATGTTAAGATTTGTTTAATACCTTTCAATGGCTAAACTTCAAGCTCATCTTCATTAATCTGATACGTGGGTATTGCATGACTACAAGAAATCAGAGGGATCAATCAAAACCTAAAAGATAATCTGAATGAAATTTTAAGTTTTTTTTAATATCATTAGGGGTTTGTAAGCAGCAGTTTATATTATGAAGTCTTTGGGTGGAGAGATTCGTGGTAATTGTGTAGCTGTATCATAAAACCTGGATTTGGACAGGTAGTTGGCCTTTTCGAACGAAGCAGGCTAAAAGCTTCATTGACAGTCATCCCTTCATTTTTAATTAAATACGCCATCACAATTGAAGCTGATCTAGATATGCCAGCATTACAGTGAACAAGAACACAGCCATTTGATTTACGCCCTTCATCTATGAAATCTATGGCCTGTTGAAAACCTTTGACAATTGGAAACTCTGGTAAGTCTCTAAATTCTTGTGTTTGATACTTGAACTGGTCAGGAAACATGTTCTCAACACCTGAAGCCACATTGAGGATATGCGTTACACCATATTGCTTCAGTGTATCGAGGTCATGGGCCACATCTTGGGAGCCTGTAAAGACAATAAACTAACACAAGTTAACAAAGATCAAATGCAACTTAAGCCCTATTGTAAGGTTCTGACAAGTCAGATTTTGCTGTATATGGACTCTATAATTTTTTTCTTAAAGCATGTTTCTTACAGAAGAGCTAAATGAACATATGAAACGGTTGTTAAATGTGGCGAAAATTACTTCTTATCAATGCTTAAGTAAAAGTTATGTTTTGGACACACAGATCAAATAAATTCTATGAAACATACCCATAATTAGTCCAGGTCTAACTTCCGCTACTTGCAAATCTTCATCCGTGTCAACAACAAACCCATGAAGGCTTGAATCAGATGGTCTGCGATAAGGAATACCTTGAGCATCTTTTCCTTCTACAACACGTGTTCCATCAGGATTTGTTACAATAGTCTCTGTTTTCCGTAAAATATTTTTATCAAAATGTTTTAAATCTTTTAGGTTTAATGGAGATGGTTTCACACCATGTCCTGCCATATTTGAAAACTGTTATCTAAGTAGAAACTGTGCTGGATTTTTATAATTATCTAATAAAGATGAATTGAAACAGTTGCATTATTGTCATACGTCAGCTACAGCTAAGTTATATGGTGAAGCTGTTAAGTCTCCTCAGGTCTCCTGTAAAAAGAAGAAAAATAAACATTTCAATTTACACAATGGAAACTCTGGTTATTGTTTTACAGTTTGTATCCATTTAGGAGCTCTTTCATAAGAAGTGTCTTGGAGCAAGCAATGTGTAAGTATTTTCTTTGGCATAATTATGTTTGGAGCAATTATTTTAAGGCTTTTAATTTATTATATGGATCTGACAGCTAGCTGTGCATTTTTTATTATGTTAAAAGGAAGTCATTAAGGATTAATTGCAGCACAGAACACTAGAAGCTTAGCTAGGGGCCCATCGCTTCAGTGTTTAGACTTAGACGGGGGGGGGGGGGTAATTTTTTATTTTTTTACACCCCCCCCCCCCTTTTTTCCCTTAATTATATGTCTCTGCCTGAGACCCATCGTCCCATGCCATTAATCATTATTTTCATCAATAAAATACCATCAATAACCATTTTGGCACCCCCGGAACACCCTGATGACCCCCTCCCTTAACTACTCCCTCTTCAGAACACACTTTTATAACAGCTGTCTTCACTAGTCTTAGGGTGAACTCCTCAGTCTTGTCTTGGTGGTCTGTAAATTGTTACTATTGAGCTTATCCTCGGGGTTCAAACTAATAACCGTTATACGCCGTTACTCAGCAGACTGTCCGGAAAAGAAATTACTATCAGACAAATAAAATATACCCGGTTAATTCATTTATTATTATAATTATACTATTTATTATACAATACTCTCGGAGCCTCCGCTTTAACGGGTCCCCACCTTTCCAGTATTTACGGAAATGTTGTATTATAAATATATATCAAGTTGTGAAAATAATTTTGGTGATTAAATTCTCTCCAACCTAAAAAAATAATAATAAAATTGTATCCGCTATTGAAAATAAAATACCGGGTAAACATTTCCACTAAAAAAGTTCAACAATTCTCCGCTATTTTTAATTCAAACTCTTAATTAGCCTGGTAACAATTACCAACCTATGCTTTGCGGACGACATAGGCGGATTGGCTGGGAACGAAGAAGAGCTAGCCGATCTGGTAAAGCGTCTCGACAAGACCTCGTCGTCCTACGGCATACTAATCAGTGCCAAAAAGACAAAACTGATGACAAAAACAGCACAGGCATCACCACTGAAATTAAGGCTGGGGAGGAAATACTAGAGACTGTAGGCCGCTTCAAATACCTAGGAGCAATAGTCTCAGAAGAAGGCTCAAAGCCCGAACTGATGTCCAGGATTGTGCAGACTACAACAACACTAGAGAGGCTCAAGAAAATATGGAATGACAAAATTATAGCCCCCAGTACCAAAATCAGGCTGATGCGCTCATTAGTCCTCTCCATTTTCCTGTATGCCTGCGAATCCTGGACATTAACAGCAGATCTTGAAAGGAAAATAAAGTCGATGGAGATTAGATGCTTCAGAATCATTTTTGGCATATGGTATAGGGACCATATCTCCAATGATGCAGTGAAAGAAAGGGTTCGCCAGGCAATTGGGGAGTACGATGACCTCCTGGTGACTGTGAAAAAACGCAAACTACAATGGTACGGCCACGTAACAAGGAAACAAGGGCTTGCCAAAGAAATATTGCAGGGCACCACAGGAGGAGGGAGGAGAAGCGGAAGACAAAGAAAAAGATGGGAGGATAACATCAAAGAGTGGACAGGACTAACGCTGGGCGATGCTGTGCGTAGTGCAGAAGACAGAGACGAATGGAGGAGGATAGTTCACACGTCATCTGTGGCACCCAAAAGGACTAAGGGACACGATGATGATGAATTCGCCTGTTTGCAAGAATGAGATCGCTGAAGGCCAAATTCATCCGAATTGTTATTTTAACGTTATTACAGACCTTTCATTTTTTAAATATATTTTTAATAAGTATGATATCTTCAAAAAACATTGGATTCAAAGGTGTAAATAAAGTATTTTCGTAGATGGTTTTGATGAGGAATAAAAGATTATTTAGTTCAAATGTCAAATGACTAACTAGTAATGCTGCCTTCATTGGGAACCATTGAATGATTGATGGTCCCCCCAAAAAAATCCCTCCCAATTGAACGGGAATTTTCGGAATTCAGGAATTAGTCCGAATGATGGAACGTTGAAATTTAACTTCACTTAAATCATAAAAGATAAGCGGTAGTGCTTATTAGAATAATAGGGAACTACGATTTGCCTCGTCAGGTAGTGAATTAAATATGAAACATATGTGCTCAGTAAAACAAGTTCACCCCAAATGTTTCCAATAGTTTTCTGTTTTTTTACTTGTGAAATTCTGGAAAAGGCCTAGCCATGTCATCGAGGGGAAAATGTTGCAAAGCACTGCTATATAGGAAGAAGGAAATGAATGAGAAAAAGTATGGGGAAGACCTGATAAAGAACGCAACAAAACAACGAACGTTGCAGAGAGGACGGATACTACATTACAACTAAGTGTTTAATTATTTTATTGACTGTTCGGTGAAGAAGGCTCCTTGTCGACACGTTCGTTGTTTTGTTGTGTCTTTTTTTTTCCTTCAGATTTTCACATATTCCCCCCCCCTCTGAGTTCCTTTTACTTAACTTGATTGCATCATCTCACCCCTTATTACCATATATTACCAACGATCCAACAAATAGTGTTCAAGTTTGAATTTAGAGTCATAACGTCTGAATATGAACAAGTAGACTACATAGAAGGGCTGGGGTATAAGTATGTGTGACATGGGGGAGGGAATTAAGATCATATGTGACGTCATACATTTTGTATTTTTTAACATACATATAATAGCTGAAGTTGAGAGTGGTGGTAAACTTTCTTTTGTGACAAATGTATTCTGACATTTACAAATAATATGGTTAAATAGTAAATGTGTTTTAGAGTAAACTTTAATTAGTTCTTAATTTTTGTTATTCCTTGCGCAAACTCACGTGGGGTTTGTCTTGCATCTTTTTTCATCCATACCTCTGGCATTTCAGCTTTGTGGCTTTGGCTTGCCTTACCACTTCCTTCCGCTCAGACTTAACTGATGCTTTTCTTTTCCATGCTTGGATTCCCAGCTGCAGTAGATCTTTTTCTATATCATCCATCCATCGCTATTCTAGTCCTTGGTCTGCATTTGATCAGCTTTTCTCTGGGGTTTTGGTGGTGCACCCTCTTCACTACTCTGTCATTTGGGATTCTTTCTAAGGGTCATGCTCAGCGTAGCCTGCCTTCTTTCATTTCTGATAATAGGGTGCGATCCTGATATAGACTATACGATTCCTGATTGGTTCTTATTCTCCCTCTATATTCATCCTTTGCTGGTCCGTATATTTTGTGGAGAACTTTCTCTCCCATGCGTTTAACGCTTTCTGCCGTCATTTGTTAGGGTCTAAGTTTCACTTATGTATGTTACAACTGGTCTGATTACAGTTTTTTTTTTTTAATATACCGGTAGTTTTCTTTGTTTTTCTTGTAATATTTTTATTTTTGAGTGTTTTCTGACTACCGAAGTATTCCCTGTTTTATTTCTTTTTATTTCTGTTAGTAATTCATTTCTTTCATTTAATATAGATCCTAGGTATATGATTTAGTTTTTCAAAAGTGTGGTTTCTAATAATAATAAGTTCCTCTGCCTTATCATAGACATGCATTTTATTTTTATATCCTTTATAGTAACTTCGCATTTTTCGTGGATGGCTGTCAAAATCTTTGGACGGCTAATTTACCCACTTCCAGTCAAGCTATCGGGCTGAAACTTAGCATACAGACTCGATGCAGATAACAACATTTTCTTTCAAATTTTCAACCCCACCCCAACGCCCCGAAATCATTTTTTCCCTTTTTTCAAGGGGAGATAAAATAAAATTCCCAATAACTGCATTAAATGAGATTCTTTTTCTTTTAAAGTATCGCAAGTGCGTTTGATGCGTAATATTTTCTTTTGTTTTTCTAAATTTTTTGGACAAATGAATCTGCAGTGTAAAAGTTGGTGGGTCATCAATATTAATATAGTTCAGCTGCATGAAAAAATTGCGGTTACAAAAAGTTTTGGGGGTGGGGCACTAACTGGGATTTTTATAAAATGCGTTATTTGTATGCATGTTTTGTCAAATTTTAAACCCAACCCCATTGCTTGATATTACATTTTATAAAGGATTTATTTATTGGTCATTCAATTCATTGAAGTGCTTAGGGGGCCGTCCATAAAGTACGTCACGCTATTTTTGACCATTTTACCCCCCTCCCCCTGTCACAAATCTCGGAACCCCCCCCCCCAAGTACGTCAAACTTTCGAACAATTTTTAAAAAAAATTAACACCTAATTAAAATTTAATCTAAAACACACTTCACTATTAAACTGTATTAAAATATAAAATTTCCACTTAAAAGAACTATCACATTATTAAAATTACTTAAATGGTAGAATAGTTAATTGTCAACAGTTGTCACAGTTATTCGTTGAAGCAGCAATACAATCTAGATTGAATTTGAAAACAAAAATTGCAAAAATTAGACTAGACAATTATATAATACACATCATTTATCTGCTGCTTTTTCATTTACAAAAGGTGAGGTCAAGTTTTAGATAATTTCCGATTATGCAATCTTTTTACACAGGATAATAAGTAGATTAGCGAAACTTGACTTCACCCAGTGATTAAATAATAAAAAGGAAACAAAACAATTTGACTAAAAAAAAGACTAGATTGACACATTATGTGACAAACTCTTGTGGTATATTGAATCTGTTTATTGTTGGCCTGTGAATTATGTTTAATTCAAAAATATTCACTGGACATCATCCATCATGGTGAAGTGAAGTGTTCATCCATAGTTACGACTGACATCAATCTTTCACCATCATCGTTTCCTGGAAGGATAATTGCAGACAGATCCACTTCATCCTCATCTAGCCACTCAACATCCTCTGAATGTGCATCTTCTCTTCTGGTAATAACTGCCATGAGTTCTCTTTGCCTTCTAGCAGTGATTCTCAAAGAACGGATGCGTTTTATCTGATTTGATTCTGGAACCGTTTGGGTTGGCACATTCTCCCGAGCCCGAGCTATGTGTTTACCTGCATGTTTCTTTGACATTGTTTGTGAGGCAAAGTATAAGTGACATACTTTGCTAATTCGATCAAGTAAGCTGGTCTGCAAAGATGGACAATAAAGATCATATGGTAGTACTTTGAAAACTCCTGTTGATCTCGGCAAGGCTATACATAAAACAGGGCTTCGCAACAGCATCCTAGCGCTCCTAGCGAGAGGAATCGTGAACAACACATTCATCAGATACGCATTTCATGCTATCTTGACATAAAACTAATTAAATGTTTCACAAAATTTTAGAAATTTTTTTTTAAAGCTATTAAATTCTACTAAAAAAAAATAAAAATAAATTAGAAATAAATTTTTTTTTTTAAATATGTGACGTCACACATGGCCTGAACCCCTCTGTCACAAACTGTCACACTTTCTTACACCCCCCCCCCTCTCTGGAGCGTGACGTACTTTATGGACGGCTCCTTAGTCAAATTTGCAGAAAATGCTAATTCGCTATTTGTAAGTAACATTTTAGGACGGATCTTGTAATTTAAAAAAAATAAATTCAGATCTTATTTTTGACAGATGTATGATAGGGTACGTCGGGAATGAAAAATAAAAGAAGACAGCAGCGCGGGAATGACGATTCTTTCACACGGGATATTTCAAGTTATCACCCCCCCCCCCCCCCCCCCCCCGCAGCCAAAAAAAGAAATAAGGTACCATAACCTTCGAACAGCCAACACTTAGGAATGTCTTGTTCATTTGAGGAACATAGCCTTTCCGTTTAACGCATATGTTGTACCATAATATATTTTGAGACGTTCTTACTGTTTGTCCAATCCAAATTGTTCTAATCAGTTGATTTATCTACACCATTAAAAATGCCACCCCGTTGTTGCATAGATATTATGCGCATTTGATATAAATAATCATGGCTTCAAAATCAATATTAGCTAAGCGGGCCGGATACACCAAAGTCGTGGGTAGGATCCGGATTGCAGTTTGCCAACCCCTGGACTGGAGCGCCCAAGCGGCCTGGGACAAAATCAAAAGCTGTCCTGCCCCCATACGACTTCGATATTTTTGTGAGGATTTGTTTGTAGCTAAGATCAAAGTTCACTTTGCAACACAGAGCTATAAATATATCTCTATGTCTATGCTTTGCAATGAGACATTCATAACACAAACGACAAATGGACAATCTAATCCACAATGAAACAAAATATTAGGATGACAGCTGGAGTTGTTTAAGAATTTTAGTTATAAATCGATATCTACCCAGAGGCGCACCAGGTCGATCAAATATCACCGACAGAAGTGCCCCAGGTGGTCAAAACATCTCAGGCCCACCGGGATTTTTATTCAGTCCAAAGTGCTGTCGAACCTAATTTACATAGTGGCCTCTATAGTGGGACTGTGGATATTCGGCATAGTGTGTGGCATTTGCCAATTTCTCAACTTTATTGCCACAGAGATTTTACAATTTTCTTTCTTAATATTGTATTCACTATATTGGCATATTTACTTCAAATATTTTTTGAGGTTATTGCTAAAATATTTCAGTGTTCTAATGCAGAGGACAAGGCTAAATATACAGTATGAAATTAAGTGGACACTGTTCTTCTTTGATCGCTGTTTGTTCCTAGAATACATTAATGACCTACCCGAGAAACTGACATCACAGGCAAGACTGTTCGCAGATGACACAGCAGTGTATATGACGATCGCCAACAGATCTGACCAGGACCAGCTACAACAGGATCTCAATCTGTCAGCTGAGTGGGAGATGAGCTCCGACATGGAATTTCACCCTGCCAAGTGCCAGACACTATCAATCTCTAGAAGTTGTACTCCTCTACACTACCAATACGAACTGCACGGCCATATACTTGAGCAGGTTTCCTCCGTAAAGTACCTGGGTGTTACCATTCAAAGAGAGGTCCGCTGGGACGAGCATATTAACAATATATGTAACCAAGCAAACAAGACCCTTGGGTTCTTAAGGCGAAATCTAAAGATTGACAACTCCTGTGTGAAAGAAAGAGCATATAAAGCCTTTATCCGTCCGATTTTAGATTATGCATCTTCAGTCTGGGACCCATTTACCCAGAAGAGCATTGACAGGTTGGAGGTGGTCCAGCGACGAGCAGCACGCTTTGTCCTAAACCGCTACAGAAATACCTCTAGTGTTGGCAGCATGCTAGAAACACTAGGCTGGTCACCATTGGAGAAACGACGACGACAAGCCAGGCTCTCCATGATGTATAAGATAAATAATGGGCTGGTCCACTGTTCCAGTATTAAACAGAAACTCGTCCCTCTCCCACATAGACAGCGACGAGGCCATGACAGGCAATTTAGGCTCATACCAGCAAGAAGCCACTATAGGAGCTGCTCATTCCTGCCCAAGACAATCAAGGACTGGAACAATCTTTCAAAAAGAACTGTTGAGGCGACAACACTAGACACATTTGTGTCTATTGCCTCAAGCCTTCAAACCCCTAGTGCATGATTTCCTCATCAACACCAGTAACAGAAACATTGCAAATCCAATCTACATGCACAGGAGCCAAAATGATCAATAAATTGATCGTGGGCCCTTAAGGTATAGAAGAAGAAGAAAAAATGCACTGTTATAAAATATCTTCCTTGGTCAGCTTTATATTCCGCAAACGTGTACCTATTGCTCTGCCAGGACTTTTTGGAGTCTTCATAGGTTTCATTTCCCAGCGCTGTCCCTATGAAAGCTAACCTGGCAAGTGCTCTTGGTGTCATTCCACAAACACCACCAAGCCCAAACTAATTCAGGTGACGTTGCAATTACTGTCTCAGTTTTCATTTGGAGACGGTCTTTGGCTAGATTATGCTATAGATCCGTTGTATGCTATTTGAATTTGTCTGCAGAATTGCCAGCTTTAGTTCTGATGTGTCAGTTACCTTCAAATAACCTGATCCACATAAGAGAACACAAACGGACACAACTTTAAAAAAAAAAAAAAAGTGTTTTGTGCAGATGCTCAGTTGTCTTGCTCTTTTAAGATTGAAAACATTCCAAATTCCTTATATTGCGCAGTAGTTCTTATGAGATGTTAAGACGAGTAGGTCTACCTGGAAAAAGCGCAGGGAACACATTTGGAGCCAGAAAATAATTCATGCGGTGCATACCAATCGGCCAATTAGCCCATGCGTGACAAAAGCTATTTTATGCTCAAAACGTTTCAACTATATTAGTAAATAGGTACAGAAGTGGGCTGTCAAGTCATTTTCAGGCACGCAAATGACACCACACCCAATGATATTCGAATACAACACTAATCGACTAAAATTGTCATTGATTAAATATTGCTGGAAGTCCTCAAAATGATGTCCTTATTGAGAAATCTATTGGCCTAAATCATGATGAAATTCATGAATTTGATTGGCACCACATTTGGAATTGATCATAGAGTATTGGCAAGCAAAAGCTGTTATCGGGGCTGGGCCATTCCAAAAATTATTTGTTAATAAATATATTTTGAATACAAATAATGACATTGGCGACATTGGCACTCTCAGAAAGGTGGCGCCGGGGTTGGTGCCCCTTCGCCCCTCACCTTCCAAGTGACCCTGCTCACAATACTAACAATACATGAATTTAAAAAGAAGCCCCAAAAAGTTTTACCCATAAAATATTAATAAATCCATTGATATTAATGTATGTAAGATGTTTTAAAATCAGAGGTAAATAACGCATGTTGTGTCAAAGTATGAAATTATAACATAATTAGTGGTATGGGATTTTTAGGATTTAGACATAACCAGCAATAATAGACACAACAGTTCGGAAAATAGGCAATTGAATAATTTAAAATGTCAAATTTGTCTATTTTTGTTTCAGTTGAAGAATTTGAAAATGAAATTTAATAGACCTAAAAATCACTTAAAAAAATTTTTAATACTCAAATAAATAAAAAAAAAAATTAATTGTTCATTTATAATAATGTTGGTTAGGAATACTAAGATATCTTAAAAAAATTAAGTATTGTTTTGTCATTTAACCATTTTAACGAACGTTTATCAAACGCCACCATGTTTATTATTTACTAACTAGTAACGTGAGATTGGTTAACCGCTTAATTTTAGCATTTTCTTGTACAGGTTTAATCTTTCAAATTATTACATAAGGAGTCATAATTTGGAAAAACAAATATGGCAGATGCCACTGCTCGTTCGCTTCAGTATGAATACAAAGCGGTAAGTCAACTGAAAAAAACCAAACAAAAATGGTTAATTATATTATTAGGCTAAATTACCCATTTACGATAATTAGGGATAAGGTAAGTAAAATTGGCCCTTGGCTTAGACACCAGATTTTCTACACCTACAACTGTATACAATATTATGTGATACCAGGCAGCACTAACACGCACGTCGTATTGGACTTATTAATCGGGATGGCCTACTGCCTACTGTCTTTTCCATACTGATACATTACATCCAAGTCATAGCCTATATTTGAATTTGATTGACATGACATTGTGATTGATTTTGATTGAAAATCTGTGCTCTCTTGTCATTTATACTCAAACTAGACCTTGTAGAGCAGCATAAACTATAAACAAGTTGGGTAAATGCAAAGAAATATCATCACGCTTTTAACCATGGCCGCCATCTTGGTTGTCGCGACCTGTGAACTTTGACGGTCTCTTAGCATTAGCCACAAGTTGTTTTTATCACATCTCAGACCACCGCAGGCTTTAATTTTTAGCACTTCAAATCACATTTTCATTTTTGTTACAAGACTTATCGTCTTATGACAGATTTTTACTCAGCTATCAGTTCCTGGGAGCTATGACTTACTGACCTTACTTAAATTACTAGCACTTCAATAACAGTAAACACACAGATAGATAAAATATATTAACTATGTACATTCAAATTTTTTGTGTTAGCTATAACTATAGGCAGTATAAGTATAGGCAGTCTTAGTGGACTAAGAAGGAGAAGCATAAAAATAACCAAGCCACGAAAAAAAGTTTTGGAAATGCTTTCTTAAATGTCAGTTTAAATCCCAATGTCCTGACATTATTCAATGATGTATATGATTCTCTTACTGTGGCATGGCATATTTTATTTAGTAAAGTTAAATTAAATAGTTTTACTATATTCCTTTTAAAAACCTAATTATTTTTATAGTAGGGTCTGTGGGTTATGGGGGGAAAAAAAGGGGGGGGGGGTTATTAGAGATTTATTTCTCTTATTTTGATACACAATATCAAAATTAAATTTACCATTTAGTGCTGAATGGAACAATCTTTTTTTTTTTTTTTTTTTACTTTTTTTTTTTTCAATTATATGATGAGTGGTAAAATATATTTGTATATATTTTCAGAATTCTAATCTTGTATTGAGTGTAGACAGAACTTTGATTGACAGAAGAGCTCGAGATGAAGCTACTGGAGAGGTTATGTCCCTTGTTGGGAAGCTTGTTGGTACCCGAATGGGAGACAAAGCACTTAAAAGCAAACCACCATTAATGGAAGAGAGAAAGATAAAGTGTGTTACTTATTTTTTATACATCACTTTGCATAAATATTTATTTTATAACTTACACTTAATTTCTACAAATTCTTGCAATCCCATGTAAGATATTTTTTAAGTACAATAACTAAAATAGAGATTAAAATGTGTTATTTAAGCAGTTTTAGGCAGACACTTTTTTATCCATTCATGAGAATCAAGCATGCTTTTGTTATTTTAGACGAAGAAAGAGAGATGAAGCTCAGCATGACATGGTAAAAATGAAAGGAACAACATTATTGTCTGAAGGAATTGATGAGATGGTAGGCATCCTGTACAGACCAAAAACAACAGAAACCCGACAGACTTATGAAGTCTTGCTAAACTTTATTCAAGCTGCGTTAGGAGATCAGGTTTGTCAGCTTATATTAATGCAGCACTTAATTGACTTTCTTTTATGAAGAAACATTTTTTGTGCCTTTCCTTTTTTATTTTAAATTAATTTCTTTCTTTTTATTCTTTAGCCTCGTGATGTCCTTTGTGGTGCTGCGGATGAAGTTCTTATAGTCCTTAAGAATGACAGAATGAAAGATAAAGATAAAAAAAAAGAAGTTGAGAGCCTTTTAGCTGAACTTGCTGATGAGAGATTTGCCTTGTTGGTTAATTTGGGCAAGAAAATTACAGATTGGAGTCAAGAAGAGAAGACGCAGACAAGTAAATTAAATGTGTATTTTCGATAGAGTTACTGTTTGTGTAACTATGAGCAATCTTAAAAGTCCTTGTAGATCATATTAATCTATTATTTGCTTTGCTTTTTTCCAAGTTATGAATGCTTTAGCAAATATTGTATCTACAGGAGGTCCTGATTTTAAGGTTGTGTTCCATTTTTTTAACTTGAAATCCCTGTCATTTGCTAAGCAACCTACTTACACATAAACGACATGTATATATGTACAAGTATATATATTTATGTACAATACATAATATTATATATAAACATGTACACACATAAAATTTAAGATATGAAAACAACATATTTATGATATTAAAATATATAATTGACTAAAAACAAGTGCACACACATGTCCGCTGGTCTATCTCCTCTTTTACTTTGTCTAACCATTTCCAAATTACACTCTAAACATGATAATTGTCCTCTTCCTTGATATACCGGCACCACTATCAATGAAACACATTTTGAAGCCATTGTTAAAAGTCCAATTGAAATTGTACGAACTCAAACAACACTGGGCTACACATCACAATGAAGTCTAGACACTAACTGGCGTCACAAGAAGTCGCTTGGAATGCTGGATGTTTTGTGCTATTCTGCGAGCTAGCCTACCAACTTCCATGATAAAATTTAAAAAAATTTTGAGCCTGAGTACGACCATCGTAACATCAAATCAGCCGTAAAATGAGGACCTCCTGCATATAATTATATATAAAAATAAATAATTCTTTGATGACCTTTGTTATTACACACAGGTGAAACAATTGACTTTGATGAGACTTATGGCGTAAATGTTCAATTTGAAGAATCTGATGATGATGTAAGAAGTGTTTATTAGTAGTTATAATTATTGGGTTTATTTGTGTAAAACTAAAAAAATATGTTGAACATTTAAGAAAAAGATAATGGATATTTCTGCTATACTTGAATATTTGTAATTCTATAATCAAAATATTAATTTTCTTTAAAAAAAAAACCACAAGGATAATTACCATCTTAGTCTTGAAAATATATTTTGCAATGTTTCAACCTCAAATAGTATTTGCCATACATGCAAAAAGTATAATTAAGATTTATCCAAAAGAAAATTTAATTATATTTAGGATACTGGTGATCAATATGGTGAAGTTCAAGAAGAAGGTGAGGCAGATGACGACAATGAGGGAGAAGAAGCTACATTTGATGCCACTCTTCATGCAAATGTAATTATCATATTTCTATAAAAGAAAGTATCTGAATTTTTGTGTTAAAACAGAAAAAAATGTTTAGATAGTCAAATGACTTGTGGATTGAATAATATAATTTATATTTAAATATTAATTTAAACAATCACATTTTAAATGAAATATTCAGTTTCATGCTTAAAAGAAATTGATAATGTTGTTACTCATTGGACAAAATTTAAAAAGAAGTCTGAATCTGCCCGAATAATATTAACCGTTTGTGTTCTATATCAACCAGCTCTCTGAGGAAGATAAAAACAAAAAAGATAGAGGCTTGCATCCTCGTGAAATTGATGCTTTCTGGATCCAGCGTAAGATTAGCAAATTTTATCCTGATGATCCCAATATGGCTCAGAGCAAGGCTAATGAAGTGCTGGAAATTTTAAAGGTAATTTTTGTAGCTGCCTGTTGATAATTGGAGCTTTAAAACCTCATTTATACATTTTGTATTGTAATCAAGGCCATATGGAAGACATTTTTCAAAATTATAGTTCTTACTATGTAATTTTATTATTTTTGGTACTTTATTATATTTTTTTTATTATTTGAATTTTTTATCTAATTTATAAACTTTCTTTTTGTCATAATGTCTGTGAAGACTGCTGGGGATGACAGAGAGGCAGAAACAAAGTTAGTGATGCTGTTAGATGTATCTCACTTTGAATTCATCAAAGTCTTACGACAACATAGACAAATGAGTAGGTTTTATTCTATTTTACAGGAATAGCTTTCATTTCTTTTTCTGAATATATTAATGTAGCGAAGTTTTAATGGTGAAATATTCAAAGGTAGACTAAACAAGTGCTTTGATTTATGCATTTAAAAAGTCTTCACTTTCTAATGACAGTTCTGTACTGCACACTGTTGGCCCAAGCGCAAACTGCATCAGAAAAGAAGAAAATAGAGCAGAAAATGTCCTCTGACCCTGAGCTTTCGATTATCTTGAAGTCACTTAAGGCAACTGATCAAGATGATATTGTCAGTGAAGAAAGAGCAAGAAGGCAGCAGGCAAGACAGTCACGTGTTGCTGCTGACATAGAAGCAATGGATGTGGATGAAGAAGAGGTAAGAGAAACGATTTTATCTCTATTTATTTGCTTGTATCTCCATAATGCATCTATTATTTGCTGTAGCCCATGAAATTTGTTTCTGTTACTTGGTCTCATTTATCCATTTTATCTTTGATACTTAAATTCCAGTCCCTGTATTTTAAAATCTATAAATAAATGCATATTTTTGGAAAGTTCAGAGATTTGCAAGAACCAGGTTCTGCAAATTTAATTAAATTCAGCATGAATTTTAAAATTTTATTTTGGGTTTGCCAGGAGCTCTTCTTACTGGTCTTTTATATAGGTTTTAATTTAGGATACTGCCATTGAACTTTGATTTTCCCAAGTTCAGCCAACACTGTGGGCGAAAACTGTGTTTGGGTTCATTCTGTTTAACTTCCTATGCAATAATAAATTTCTTTTGCAGGACTTAAAACTCTTCTTGGTTCTTCCCTAATATTTTTATATTTGTATATTTCAATAGGAAGTTGGCCCCGTCCAAACGCTCTACCTTGAAGACCTTGTTTTCAGTCAAGGCAGTCATCTAATGGCCAATAAAAGGTGTCAATTGCCTGATGGATCTTATAGGAAACAAAGAAAAGGTAATGAAAAAGAATGCAAAAGCTACTGCTGTCAATTTTTCAGCCCTGTTAAAGAAAGAAAAAATGTCAAAGCCCACAAGATGTGTTGATTTTTAGTAATTGGTTCTTGCAATTGTGTGTTGTTTAAAAACACATTTAAAAAAAAATGCTTTTAATCTCATACATAATATTCTTTTTCTCAAAAAAATATAATTACAGGTTATGAAGAAGTTCATGTACCTGCTTTGAAACCAAAGCCTTTTGACAATGATGAGGTAAAGTGTACTTTATTGTTTAGCAAATATGTATACAAATTGTCTTTAAATTTGACATTTCGAATCTTACAAAAATCTGTAGTCTTTAAAATAAATGATATGTTTTATGAAAGAGTAACTCATTGCAGTCTGATGTTCTTTTCACTTTTGCTAAAATATTGAATTTGATTTTTTTAAATTAATGAATTATCTTCCCTTAAATAGGTCTGATCTTATTAGTTTTATATATTAACTTGCTCAGCTTGAATGAGCTATCATTTGGGTAATTTTTTTGGTATATTTTATTTACTTGGTTTTTAAAAAATGATATTGGAGTCCTTTTTTTTTTTAAAGACGAGCACTTAAAAAAAAAAATTCTGAAGGGAAATAAACTTCTTGTTTCTTGTTAAATAGTTTCAAAATTTATGAAATTCTTAATAATCTGACTAAAACCATAGTCAAACATTCTATGAAAAATATTTTAAAAAGTTGTGTGATTTTTGTGTGGAAGATATGGTTTTGTTAAATTTTGCAAAAAATGCAACATACAAATTTAATTAATATTCATTTTGATCACCATATTACTACTTCAAAAACAGAATTATGTTTTTAAATATATTTTAAAATACCCGTAATCCTTGAACTGACACTAGTTAAAATTAAAATGATTCAGTAAATCAAAATATGCATATACATCTTTGTTATAATCCTAATCTAACACAGGCTGACAAACTATGGAATTGTCTTTCTACACACTGGACACATTGTTTCTGATAATTTGAATGCATTTTTGTTATAATAATAGATACATTAGAACTGGTACTGGACTTGTGTTTCCCCTTAGGAATAGGTAGCATGTAACTTCATCACAGAAAAATCACTGTAAAAAAAAACCAAGTGAAATAAACGTGATTAATTTATAAATAATATTAACACTAATGGTAAAAGCAGGCTATCGGCAAGGAAAAAAAGTTCTTCAAGTGAAGGATGTTTAGTTTGTGTTATTTTACTAGTTTTGCTTTCTTGATTTGTCGGTTTGTGCGGTGTTTAATATCAGACGTTGAATTCCCACACCAACTATGACTTTTTGTGGGCTTTTGCTACTGTACCTAAAGATTAGATTTAAAATTACTGTGTTCACAGAGTACACAATAAAAGGGCTTAGTATAATAGCCAAGATGAATAAGGAATTACCATTATCTGCATCTGTGATGTCTCTCTCCTACTTTGCCATTAGAGTTACTGAACTGTTATTAAAAACATAAATAATTTGTTTGTCATTTAATGTCATGTTGTCTCTACTAATACCAGTGGTAGAGATAACTAAATTAAACTTACTTCTACTGTAAATATAAACAAATTAAGATGATGATTCATAGCAGTTAGACATTTAAAAGAAAATTTTGAGATAACAAATGAAAAGATCATAACTTATTTTTTTTTGTAACTACACAATGCCTCTGAGTTTTTCGCCATATTTATACAATATTTATATCCGAAAGGAACGCTATTTATCAATTATAAATGATTCAAACTCAATAAAAATCAACAATCTTAACATATTTGTATAAGTGGATTAAGTAAAATTATAAAATATCCAAGTAAATTCCATGATCAGAGTCTACATCTGAGTATATGTCTTCAGAACAATTCCATGATCAGAGTCTACATCTGAGTATATGTCTTCAGAACAATTCCATGATCAGAGTCTACATCTGAGTATATGTCTTCAGAACAATTCCATGATCAGAGTCTACATCTGAGTATATGTCTTCAGAACAATTCCATGATCAGAGTCTACATCTGAGTATATGTCTTCAGAACAATTCCATGATCAGAGTCTACATCTGAGTATATGTCTTCAGAACAATTCCATGATCAGAGTCTACATCTGAGTATATGTCTTCAGAACAATTCCATGATCAGAGTCTACATCTGAGTATATGTCTTCAGAACAATTCCATGATCAGAGTCTACATCTGAGTATATGTCTTCAGAACAATTCCATGATCAGAGTCTACATCTGAGTATATGTCTTCAGAAGAACAAAAATCTCAAGCATATTTTGCAAAATTAAAAACATTTGACGATATTATTAGTAGTAATTAATTTTTGTGTGACCGTAACATTTTTAGTTTTTCGGTAATCCACTGCGTTTTTAAAGACTACTCTGCGCTGAATAAGTTTCTAATAATAATAATTTTTTTAATAGTAATTTTAAATTTTGTAATATTAAAAATTTTAAAATGCATAAAACCATTTATAAAAATAAACTTATATTTTCAAAAAATAACTGATTTAAAAAATTAATTATCCAACTGCAGAAGCCATCATTCTAATATGGATGGTTCCTTTGTAGTCTGACTGTGGAGTCTTAAAAGGATTTTTTTGTATGCTAATGTACTTAAAGAAGAGTTTTTTAAAAATAAAATTGAAATTAAAAAGACGCTAAATTTTTTAATTTATTCTAATTTAGAATTTAGTATCTATTGACCGACTTCCCAAATATGCACAAGCTGCTTTTGATGGCTTCAAAAGTTTGAATCGTATCCAGAGCAGACTCTATCATGCTGCTATTGAGAGTGATCAGAACCTTCTTCTTTGTGCTCCAACTGTAAGTTTTTTGGCATAACTTTTGTTTAAACCATTTGATTAGATTTAGTAATAAGAATCATCACATGACTATATGATGTAAAAGACCAAGTGTCTGTTTAGTTTTAAATTCAGTATAGGCATATGACAAAATAATGTGTGTGGGCATAATTGAATTTAGCAAAAATAAAATAAATATTATTCAACTTGTTAATAGAAGTGTCATGTATTCCTGGAATAAATTCAGGGTGCTGGTAAAACCAATGTTGCTCTATTGACAATAATGCGAGAAATTGGGAAACATGTGAATACAGATGGGACCATAAATTCAGATGACTTCAAGATTATCTACATTGCTCCTATGAAATCTTTAGCCCAGGAGATGGTTGGCAACTTCTCTGAGGTTGGTCATGTTTATAAAAGTTGTAAAAATTCATGTTATGAATAAATAACTTTGAAAGAAATGGTTATCATTCAAAAGTAGTGTTTTAAAATTTAAAAAAAAAAGTAATACAAATTTCAATTTTGCTTTTTTTCATTGATTATGGACTACTCCTTGTACAAAAAAAAGTAGTTAACAGTGTATAGATTTTTAAAACCTATGTGTCCCACTTAGCGCCTGGCATCCTACAACTTAAAAGTTCAAGAGTTGACAGGTGACCATCAGTTAACAAGAGAACAGATTGCCGCTACCCAAGTGATAGTGTGCACACCAGAGAAATGGGACATCATCACCAGAAAAGGAGGAGAAAAAACTTACACTCAGTTTGTCAAACTAGTTATATTTGTAAGTTGAACTTTAAAAAAATTATTAAATTGATACCTCCTTTTTGATAAAAAAAAAAATCAAAAGAAAAGAGGAATTGCTTAATTTTGTTTACATCATTGTTTCAAAATATTCAAATGATATCAAGCTTATTAAAAATATATTTAATTATTTTCCAGTGTGTGCGAGTATAAATAAGGGATGCAAACTACCTGTTAAAGAATATTTTTATTTTGAATCCTTTATAAAGAAAATTGATGTTTTTTTTATTAGGATGAAATTCATCTGCTTCATGATGACCGAGGACCGGTTCTGGAGGCCCTGGTTGCCAGGTACATATTATATTGAACAGTTTTATTAACATAACCTTTGGAAAATCTATTTTGTGAGATTGAATTATTGCTATGATTAAATATCTTCTAAAAGTTTTTTTTAAAAATGTATTGCTCCTCCACTACTTAAAAAGCAAGGCTCAGTTTCTTAGAGAAGAAATTGCCTTTGCTTGTGTGGCAATATATGTAGCAAATTCAACTATTACAAAAAGCATTCTGCAGTTATCAACCACTAAAATGTATCATATTTTTACAATAAAATCATGTCCGACCTGAAAGACCAATTATGTAATTTCCTCTGGTTGACTTTTCTTTTTCAATGTAAAAGTAAATGTAAGCACATTGAGCTTTGTTGTGGTCAGTAAAAAAAGTAGTGATTGCCTGATCAGTGTAATGCATTAATATTAAGTTTTCTCTCATTACAATTTTTTTCTATATATTTTTTATAAACTTGCACTAAAACCTTTTATTGTTTTGACAGGACTATTCGTACCATTGAAACCACCCAGGAAGACATAAGATTAGTGGGCCTCAGTGCTACACTTCCTAACTATGAAGATGTTGCTGCATTTTTACGTGTTGATCCCAGGGAGGGTCTTTTCTTCTTTGACAACAGTTTTCGTCCCGTGCCACTTGAACAGCAGTTCATTGGGATCACGGAAAAGAAAGCCATTAAGCGATTTCAGTTGATGAACGACATCGTCTATGAGAAAGTCATAGAACATGCTGGCAAAAACCAGGTAGAGTCCCATGAAAATTAAACTGTCCTATTGTCAAATATGTGAACTTAAATAAAAATATTAGATTTTGTTTATAACTTATTTAGCGTCCAATATGTAATTAAAGTTGAAATTTTGTTTAGATTTTACAACCTTTGCTCTTAGGTCCTGATATTTGTGCACTCGAGGAAAGAAACTGGGAAGACATCTAGAACAATCCGAGACATGTGTCTTGAAAAGGATACACTGGGTTTGTTCATGAAAGAAGGTTCTGCATCGACCGTTGTGCTTAGACAAGAAGCAGAGCAAGTGAAGGTTTGTCAAGCACATTTTTATTTTCATTTTAGAATGATTAAATAGTGGTACTTTCCAGCTTATTTACATGTTCAACCCATTTTTATTATTTGTTTTTGTGTTGTTTTTTACAAATGTTCAGTTTGACCCCCACCCCCTATTTCCAGAGCTCAGAACTGAAAGATTTGCTGCCCTATGGTTTTGCCATCCATCATGCAGGAATGAACAAGTAAGTTGATAATGCATGATACGTACGTTATAAATATGTTGAAACTATTATAGTTGTCATGATAGTTGAATGAGATTGGCCAAAATTTAATTAGGTTTTGCTTATTCTAGAAAGTTAAAATGTGGTGCACTGCTTAATTTCTGAGAATATTTCAGTCTTTCAAAGGTAGTGAGATCCTTGATTGATCTGTTCTGAAATAATTGTAGTGAAAAAAAAAAGTATAGTATGAGTGAACATGGCTGCCTAGCTGGCAGATACATCATGAGGGCAATAACTTTACAAACATGTATATAATAATAAGTGTGTAGCAGCCAGTTAGTTATGGAATTGCTCTGATATGATTGTTTTTTAAGTTTTTCTTCCAAATTAGTGGCAGTAAATTTCCTGAATAAAAAATTTTTAAAAAATTTGGTTTCTTGCTTATCATGAAATTTTTGTGTATTCTCTTCAAAATAGCTAAGTATTAACTACAAACTGATTTCTCTCCCTTCACTTTTAGAGTTGACAGAAAATTGGTTGAAGATTTATTCAGTGATCGCCACATCCAAGTCCTTGTGTCCACTTCCACTCTGGCATGGGGTGTCAACTTGCCAGCACATACGGTCATTATTAAGGGAACCCAAATCTACAGTCCAGAGAAAGGGCGTTGGGTTGAGCTAAGTGCATTGGATGTCCTACAGGTAAGATTTGATGATCATTTAGTAGACCACAGTCATGCATTCTATGAGTAACTTATGGTACTGTAATGCATCACAGTAAGTGTAGATTTTAATATTAAATATTCATAATTTTCTTTTCAAGTCTTTTTATATTTGCTTTAGAAAAATAGAGATGGAAAAAATAAAACAAATTCAAGTAAAAATAATCTTTCTTTGTTCAACAGCTTTCTTAACAATTTTATTGTAAGCAATGGATTTTTTCAGATGCTTGGAAGAGCAGGTCGTCCCCAATATGACACTAAAGGAGAAGGCATCATGATCACTAATCACAGTGAACTTCAGTATTATTTATCCTTGATGAACCAGCAGGTTGGCACAATTTATTAATATATTTTAATACACATTTGAGTTAAATTCTTATTATTCTAAATTTATTAACATTTTGACAATATTTTTTACAAAATGCATTTTCACTTTTACACTACAGTTACCAATTGAAAGCCAGTTCATCAATAAAATGGCAGACAATCTAAATGCTGAAGTTGTTTTGGGAACAATTCATAACATTAAGGAAGCTGTTGATTGGTTAGGTAAGGTTTTTACAAAAAATTACATTATTTAACAAATTTTATATCATTTCCAGCTTTTATTTATTATTAAATTGAAATCTATAAAAATCAATCTCATAAATATATAAAATTTATTGTTTGTCATTACCCCTTGTGTCGCCAGGCTATACTTACCTCTACATTCGGATGCTGAGAAATCCCACTTTGTATGGTGTCTCTCATGACACACTGAAAGAAGATCCTTTATTGCAGCAACGAAGAAAAGATCTGATCCACACAGCTGCCTGCATCCTTGACAAAAATGGTTTGCTCAAATATGATCGCAAAACAGGAAACCTACAGGTCTGTCATTACAATAATCGCTTTTCATATTACTAGGAATTATTGAAATTTATGCAAATTCCTTTTTACAAAAAAATATTGTGCTGGCAGGACTCATGATTTTAACATCTTGCATTAAAAGGCAAAAGTACAGTACATGCTCAGAAAATTCAGTTATTCTTTTTAACAGGTGACTGAATTGGGGCGAATTGCCAGCCACTATTATATAACCAATGAGAGCATGGCAACCTACAGCCAACTGTTGAAACCAACACTCAGTGAGATTGAACTGTTTCGAGTATTTTCTCTCTCTGCTGAATTCAAATACATCATGGTTAGAGAGGTAAGAGTGAACAAAAACAACATGGTCTTTATTTATTTATTGTTGAATTTAAGTCAACAAGCCATAATCTGCATCCTTTCAGTCTATAAATATCTTAATTGATAAAAACTCAAGTGCTTCTTTTGTTTAAGTTTACAAGCCTTAAACTATCTTAAAAGAAAAAGTTAGGTATCTCATTGTTCTTCAATTTTCTTGTGTACTCATTCAGGAGGAGAAATTGGAATTGATGAAACTTTTGGAGAGAGTACCTATTCCTATTAAAGAAAGCATCGAGGAACCTAGTGCTAAAGTGGGTATACTTTCATAACCAATTAAACTGTTATGTCTTTAAATAATGTAGGTAATATCAGTAGATATTGAAAGTTTAGCACTTTACTTTATGGTGTCAAGAGAATTATTTGAGATCTAAGACAGACAGTTGAAGAATACTATTTCTTTTTAACACCTCTATGTAAGAGGGTTCTGGGTGGCTAAGTGGGGGGAACTGAGCCAATCTCAAGTTAATGCTCTGGAGTTCAATCCTCACCAAAGCCCAGTCAAGAAAAACATCACCAGCACCCAGGGTGGATGGGACTTGTTAACCTTGGATGGCAAAACCTTGGAGGGCAACTCATCTAAGAGAAGGAGACTCTGAATTCAAACTCAGAGATGGAGTCCCGGAGGCGGATAACATTGATACAATGAAACATTCCGACAATTCTTGAGACGCAAATGGTGCAAAGCTGTAATATTCACATGATGTTCCCTTGGATTATCCAGTAGTCTGGTGAGAGGCAATTTCCTGTGTAAGAACCAGCTTATAATCCTAAAAAGAATAATCCCAGGCCTTGTCGATTTCATCCTGCGAAGTCTACACCATCTTCACGGACAGATGCCAGCAAACAAAAAAATAAAGAGCCCTTAACACAGTGGTTCTCATCCTTCCTAATGCAGCTACCCTTTAATACAGTTCCCCTTGTTGTTGTGACCCAAACCATGCAATTATTTTCGATGCTACTTCATAAATATGTGTTTTCCAATGGTCTTAGGCGACCCCTGTTTAAAGGTCGTTCAACCCCCCCCCACGACCCACAGGTTGAGAACCACTGCCTTAACATAATCTGATTTTAATTTGATGAATGGGATTAATTTAATAAAAAATACCTGAACAATTATTTTCATTTTTGTTCATAGACATTCTTGCCATTTAATTTAAGTATTATTATAAATAGGTCAATGTTTTGCTGCAAGCTTATATTTCCCAACTGAAACTGGAGGGCTTTGCCTTGATGGTAGACATGGTGTTCATCACACAATCAGCTGGACGCCTGATGAGGGCCCTGTTTGAGATTTGTCTACACCATGGTTGGGCTCAGTTGGTTGACAAGGCACTTGCACTTTGTAAAATGGTGGATAAACGAATGTGAGTCTCTATGATCAGTAGAGTTTTTGTATTTTGTACAATAAAACAATCTTGTCATATTCTTTGTCTGTATAAACAGGTTATGAATAATTTTGCAAGTGCTTTATTTATAATGGAAAAACATATTTATTTATTATATTTTAATTAAAATCTATTCTTTTAATTTGATTTTTTTACCTTTAATTTGTAGACAGCTTTTTACTGATTTTTATAACCTTGACATGATTAGGTGGCAGTCAATGACACCCCTGAGACAATTCAGAAAGATTCCAGACCAAGTCATCAAAAAGATAGAGAAAAAGAATTTCCCATTTGAGCGTCTGTATGATTTGAATCACAATGAAATTGGAGAACTTCTGAGACTCCCTAAGATGGGAAAGGTAAATATTTTAACTCAGTTTTTTTTATTTAACCCTATAACTGTCATAGCGGCCGATCATCGGCTGTTAAACCCCGTTTTGTTGTGTCAGGGTCGATATAATTGGCCGTTAGCAAAATCGTCATTAAAAATGTGGATGATTTAATTTATATTGGTTTAAGGGAAATAATTCTATATAAATGATTTTACTTCCTATATATGTCTAATAATAAGGGGGAGAGACTGCAATTAGGTTAGAAAAAAGGAAATGAGTGAAACTAAGGATGGAAAAACCTTTAAAAAATTGACGCAACAGAACACAAAATGTGTTGGGAAGAAGCCTTCATCAGTGAACAAACAACTGTAAAAACAGAATTAAATAAAAATAACACTGTAATATTGACAATGTCGGGCCTGAGCTTAGTTTTATTTTTACAGACAAATTTGTTTGGGAAATGGTGGAAATCGAACTAAAAAGACAAAGATTGGATCACAAAAAGCTACCCTAAAGAGATTCAAAGAAATTTATGTTTGTGTATGTTCTAGAGAATTAATTAATAAAAATGGATTTTGTAACTTCATTTGAAAAGGAATTTTTGAACTTATTTCATCCATTCCCGCTTTGTATGACAGAAATTTGAAGGTAGTGAATGGATTAATTCACCAGTAGAATTTCAATATATGTACCTATAACTTGACATTTGCTCAAAGAATATTGCTTCTAGTATCTCAAAAACTTTATTTTAGTTTGAACAATTTATGGAGTATTAGGTTGGGTTGAATTCAGAAGCAGACCTGTTTACTCTTACGATTTTGGCGTACAATGTACGATTTTGAGGTGTAAACATTATATACCGTATGTTTATTTTTTACTATAAATATAAGGTATTGAATGATTTTGTGATGATATTGTATGATTTTGTGATGATATTGTACGATTTTAAGAGTTTGAGGGTAAACAGGTCTGCAGAAGTTGAGTAGTAAAATTTTATTCACTATTTAAAGGTCAAGGTCAAAATCAACTTGCATAATATGAAAACCAATTCTTTTAATACCATTAGATACCTTGTCCAATTTACTTTCAGAAAATGTCTACTTTTAAGTGTCTTTGCAATCATTTAGACTGTGATTTTATCATTTTGACAAGTGTGCACAAATGCAGTTATAGGGTTAAGATATTTTATTAATTTTTCCCCAGTGTTTCATATTTATACAAAATAAACACAATAACTCACAAATTAACCTGAATATTTTTAAAATAATTTTATTTAACTCAGTATTGAATAACTCATGTTTAATAATTAGTGGTCATAATTTTACTGCAAAATGTTTTTCAGCAATGCTGTAGTAACTGTAAATTCTTGGAATCAAAATACTTGCATTCACAGTTAAATATTCAGTTATATGTTAATTGGAATTATATCATCAAATTGTTCATTATCTATTAAGCTATTAGCTATCACCTATTTTCTTAACTTTTAGAATAAGAGTTAAAATATTAATGTCATCTTTTTTTTATATTGTAGCCAATCCACAAGTACATCCGCCAGTTCCCTCGACTAGAGCTGTCAGTTCACATTCAGCCTATCACAAGATCAACTTTGAAAGTGGAACTTACAATCACACCAGATTTTCAGTGGGAAGAAAAACTGCATGGCCACTCAGAGGTACTACTTATTTTGAGACTTCATCATGCTGGTTTTCCCATGCATGTCTATTTCAACTAAGTCTGGTTGCAAAAAAATTTTTTTTTAATATCATTACTATTTTTTTTTTCTTTGACCCATTTGATCCATTTTCTGTCGTTTAGAATAATTTATTGATTTTTAATTGAGGAACTAAATTTTCAATCAAAAACTTTAGTTCATTTGAAAATCAATTGCTTCTCTTGGATAAAGGATTGATTGAGTCGGTCAGCACCCGACATGAATATTTTAAAAATAAACATTAATATTATACATGGCATACAGAAAAATGACAGATTTAAATATTTTTACTAGGCTTTCTGGATATTGGTTGAAGATGTAGACAGTGAGGCGATTCTGCACCATGAATATTTTCTGCTAAAAAGGTGAGTTTTAATAAACTCTAATCCGATTAAACTTTTCCAGGTGATGCAAAATATGGTTTTATTAACTGCTTTCAGTTTAAAATAGAGAGATACTAGATGTATAATTGTTTATTTTCCTAACATAGAGAAATATTAGACACATAATTGTTTATTTCCATAACATGGAGAAATACTAGATGTATAAGTGTTTCTATAATTTTATGACCAAACTTTTTTCATTATTGAAATGTCTATAAACTTTTCAGTAAATTTGCCACTGATGAGCATGTTGTAAAATTCTTTGTGCCAGTTTTTGAGCCATTGCCTCCTCAGTACTTCATTAGAGTTGTATCTGACAGGTGGATTGGTAAGTTTACAAACTGCTTATGGAATATTTTCTTGTCTAGTATAATAATTATAACCTTAAAATCCATAATTAAAAAAACATATTTTATTTAAAACAAAGCTTACAAAACCTCCCTCATGATATCTCTCCAGTAATGTAAAAAAAAAATTTTATTCATTAGGTTCAGAAACACAGCTTCCTGTTTCTTTTCGCCATTTGATTCTTCCTGAGCGGTACCCACCACCAACAGAACTTTTAGATTTACAGCCTCTTCCCATCACTGCTTTGCGAAATCCCAAATTTGAGACTTTGTACAGTAAAAAGTTTCCAATTTTTAACCCTATTCAAACTCAAGGTAAATTCATACACAGAATAAGAATATGTCTTCTGTACTCAACTGTTGATAAAATATAGCAACAAATTGATCAACAACTCACTAATGAGAGAAGTGTTTAGTTAAAATTAACACCTCTTTGCTCAGGATGGCATTTGAATAATAAGTTTCATTGCCTGCATCAATGCTAAGACTGAATGTAATTCATGTTGTGTTTCTCTTTTGTCAATAGTGTTCAATGCCGTCTATAACAGTGATGAAAATGTCTTTGTGGGAGCCCCAACAGGCAGTGGTAAGACCATCTGTAGTGAATTTGCTGTCCTAAGAATGTTTTCACAGAACCCAGAGGGAAGGTGTGTATATGTGGCGCCACTGGATGCACTAGCTCAACAGGTAAGTTAATATTATTATTTTTTTAACATATTTCAAATATTTTATGTGTCATGTCTAACTGAAAAGTTTTTGGTTTTATAAAAAAACACATTTTTTATTTCTTTAGATCTTTGCTGATTGGCACAACAAGTTTGCAGGAACCCTTGGCAAAAAGGTGGTCCTCCTTACAGGAGAAACAGGCACGGACTTGAAACTTCTAGCAAAGGTAGAGGATTTATTTTTTTAGTTTCCTAATTTTAATATCAATTACAAGAACAAAATTTGATGTTCATGATCAAAAACCAAAATGATTAGAGTGGTGCCATGGAAGAAATCCTATTGGTCAAAGGAAATCAACACTTCTTCCATTTGTCTGTACAGGGCAACATTGTCATTTCCACACCTGACAAATGGGATGTTTTGTCTAGAAGATGGAAACAGAGGAAAAATGTTCAGAATGTCAACCTCTTTATTGTTGATGAGCTGCACCTGATTGGTGGAGAGATGGGAGTAAGTTGTTCCCCAAGGATTTTATTTGGTATCATTTTTAAAAAATATTCAATCATCTTCCTAGACAAATTTTAAAACATTTTAAAGTTATTTCTTTATAACTAATTTAAGCTTTGTATCCCAGTCATTAATGATTTATTTTAATCTGATTGTTGATCTGATTTAACAGTCAGTTCTGGAAGTGATCTGTTCCCGCATGCGATACATCTCATCACAACTTGAGAGAAATATAAGAATTGTGTCACTGAGCTCCTCCTTATCTAATGCTAAAGACATTGCACAATGGCTGGGTTGTCCAACATCATCCTTTTTTAATTTCCATCCCAATGTGAGACCTGTGCCATTGGAGCTCCACATTCAGGTAATGTTCGAATGTTTATCTGCTCGACAAAATGTTCAAGCATTAACACTTAAAACTGAATTATGAATTTTGAAGACAAAGTGATGTATTTATCTTGACTAAATATTTTATTTATTCGGGACTAACCTGGAAATAAAAAACAGACCCTGACTGAATAAGTTATAAAAAACAGGAATGTTCAGATTTTGTATAAACTTGGCTTTATTTCTTTTTTAGGGATTTAATGTATCTCACAATGCCTCTCGCATTATTGCCATGGCAAAGCCTTCCTATCAGGCTATTGTCCGACATTCACCCAAGAAGCCAGTGATTGTCTTTGTGCCATCCCGCAAGCAAACAAAACTCACTGCCATTGACATTTTGACTTGTGCTGCTGCTGAGATGCAAGGTGGAACGGACGAAAAGCCCCATAGCAGATTTCTTCATGTCAGAGAGGATGATCTGAAACCATTCCTTGATAAAATAACTGACTTGGTTGGTTTATAAATATTTCTTCTTTGGTCAGATTGTTAAAATATTTGTATTCATTGAATTTTTGGAGTGATTATTTGAATTTCTAACATTCATAATTTGAATATGACTTTTCTATCATTTTACATTTAATATTTGATAATTATTTTATCAGACCCTAAAGGAGACTCTAGCCAATGGTGTTGGCTATTTACATGAAGGTTTATCTGAAGCCGAGAAGAAAATTGTTGAGCAACTCTTCAGCGCTGGAGCGGTGCAAGTTGTTGTTGTGGCCAGAGGACTGGCCTGGGGCATCAATGTTTCAGCTCATCTTGTCATTGTCATGGACACACAATACTATGATGGCAAGATGCACTCGTAAGTAATAAATTTGTCATTCTTGGCGGGCCTGTCTTTTCATGAGTTGGTACTCCTAAAATGACCAGGATGTATTTAATCTTCAATTTATGTTAAATTATTTTAAGAATTCTATTTAAGAGAGTGCTAACTTCATTGGATGGCTTCTCATTAAATGATGTCATGTTCTACAATTAACTTTATTGGATGGCTTCTCATTGAATGATTTCAGGTTCGACAATTACCTACAAAATTTCATTCAATCCATTCAAATTCAGCATTTGTCAAAGGGTGCTGCTGATGTTTTAGCCAAGTATGAAATAAAGTTGGAATGTATATAACCAGGATTTGCCATTTCAATGATGGTATTGTGTTATAGTGTAACATTTTTAAATTCTCTGTCTGAGGCAGAAAGAAAACAATTTGACACTCAACAATTAAATTCACCCAGAAAACATATTTATCTTTTAAAATATCAGTAGCTTGTTTTGTGACGTTTTTACTTGTTACATTTATAATAGAATAAATCCCGGGTACTATCAAAAAAACATGCATCCTGGTTTTTATATTTAATATCTTAAATATCTTTTCATTGCTCAAATGTAATATATTGACTATTATCTTTAAAATAAAAAGTCCTGAAGTTACTGTCAATCTTTGCATGTGACCATAAAAATCACAGTTGCTGCTCAGTAAAAAAAGATAATACAGTTTTCAAGACCCACATTTATTGATGGGTTGAGTTAAGAGGAGCGTTGAAAGGGACAATAGCTGCGATACAGAATTTTGCTGGACACATATGTACATTAAAAAATGGCGTCAGCAAGCAGTCGAGCCAGAGCTTTTAATGCCCGACCCAAAGTATCCCCCGAAGCCAGAAAAGTCCCCGAATTATCGTACCAGCGAAGAGGCATGCTGGAGATCTCCTCCTGCTAGGACAGCCCCAGCCAATATCTTCACTCAGTTGACTAGCTTTACGTGGGCCATCTCAGCCTAACGACATCCAGTTGGTTGATAGTGTTGTTTTGACAACACTAGCAATCGACTTTCCCAGTGGTGGGAATGGTACACTTTTATCCTAATATCCTTCCCTGCCCGACCCAGGGAAGCCTTGGCCCCCCCTCCAATAGGTTTTCTACATTGGGTTTCTACCTCGTAAATGGTTCACGAAATAGCTGGGACAAAACGCTTGCCCACCTCATGCCTCATATCCGTCATCTGCAACATAATAATCATGATCACTCCCCTGTTTCTACTGTTATTTCAACAAGAGATATGACCACAGTTGGCAAAAGCTAAAGTTCACACTGTAGTTGCTACAATTTGGGCAGATACCTTGCATGACCTTTGCTCAAGCAATGGTGGTTATGTCTATAGAGTAATGTAAGGGGGTTGGTGGCAGCTCCTCTTTAGTAAACATGTCACTCGCTGACAAAAGTCCACGGGAAGGAAGGACATATCCATGGCATATTTAACACTTCTATATATAAAACCTGAAACAGTAATTGTGTGGAGACATTTGAAGTTGAAGTGTTAAAATGCTTTTAGCATTAGTCGGGAAGGGAACGTTAATTTTTTACTAATACTCAACTTTGTCTGGGAGGAACTAAGAACAAGTTAATGAGTAAAAACAAAATTAAATTTCAGTTATGAAGACTATCCAGTTACTGATGTACTGCAGATGATTGGAAAAGCTAACAGGCCCCTTCTGGACAAAGAAGGTATGCTTTTTAATTCACATAAAAATAAATCTGTTTAAAGATACCCCTGGTAGAATTATCAACTCTCATTTAATGAGATGTGTTATAATACTTATTCAATATAAGAAGGAGCTTAGATGTGTTTCCGTTACGGTTCTTAAAAACAATCGTAGTCATTTTGTACTATTTTACAGAAATCAAATCAATTTAAATTAGCTCAGATTTTTAAAAACAATAGTTATTTTGTAATGTAAATATTATTAAATATATTTGATTTTTTGCAAGTATAAGGAATCTTTAATATGAAAGTATTATTATAAAAAATTGCATATAAATTTAATGTAATTATTTTCTTTGTGGATTAGGGCGTGAAAAAAGTTGGTTGGCCTATATTATGCATTGTTAGAAATGTAAACATCTTTACATAGATATTTATTTTTAAACCTTTACATAGATATTTATTTTTAAACAAAAGGAAAGTCTGATTTACTATTCCTAAGGACACTTTTGAAGGGTGTGGAAATTTCCGCAATTTTTAAAATATTTTTTTTATTTTTTGAGGATACAATATCTCATTACCGATATAGTTACATACTTTAAAAATTTTAGATTTTGAAACTTCCCAATTTAAGGTAGCAGGTAGTGCGTGCCTTATGGTTTCCATTTCTTTCCAGGTAACACAGGGTTATATCTTCTAGTTTTTAATATCAAAACTATTTAGAAAATACTCTTACTAACTTGATACATTTTTCCAGGAAAGGCAGTGATTATGTGCCAGAGTTCAAAGAAAGAGTTTTTCAAGAAATTCCTGTATGAACCACTCCCAGTAGAGGTAAGACAGAAAAGTAGTTTCAAATATTTTTAGTTAGATTCCAAAATATGCTTAAAATCTTAACTGTCACAATAATTCTAAACAAAATGTATTTTCTTTTGTTTAGAGTCACTTGGATCACTATTTACATGATCACTTCAATGCTGAAATAGTGACAAAAACCATTGAAAACAAGCAAGATGCCGTGGATTATCTCACATGGACATTTATCTACAGGCGCATGACACAAAACCCAAACTACTATAATTTACAAGGTTAATGACAATAGACTGGTCTTTCAATTGTCTTTCTTGTTAAATGTACTTTTTATAATTGATTTGTCCTTGACATTTTACCTCAGATTTTTGTTTATTTTAGTTAAGTACAAGTAGCTATTCTAATTTTGCCACTTTGTTGTTAATAGGTGTTTCACATCGTCACTTGTCAGATCATCTCTCTGAAATTGTTGAAAACACAATCAATGATTTAGAGCAATCTAAGGTAAGATTATTGAATAACTTTTATAGCTTCACAGTGGCTTCTTTTCAAATACCTGTGTACCATAAATATTTTTAAAAAAAATAATTGTGTGCAGTATTACATTTGATGTTACAAGAAAAAATCTCTAGATTGTTCAAAATTTAAATATTTATCATTTTGATTCTCAAAAATTTGAGAGAAAATGAAGTAAGCTAATTCTGTGTAGAATAGGACTAATTTTGACAATAATGAATATGGAGACCTCAACAGAGACCTTAACACCTTTCAGATTGACAAGTATCTATAAAGAATAATTGTATTAATGTTGTAGGACTACATTTGAGTAATAGATGCTGATAGTGATATACCTTTTATTTGTCAATAGTGCATCAACATAGAGGAAGACTTTGATGTCTACCCACTCAATTTGGGTATGATTGCTGCATACTATTACATCAACTACACGACCATAGGTAAACTTGCAAATCTCATTGTTTGTGTTGCCATGAGTTAAATGTAAATAGCAATGTCTTATTTCAACATTGACTTAATTTGTATTACCCTAATGTATAAGAGATTAATGGATTAATTGTTCAATTTTGCCAAACAGAACTTTTCAGCATGTCCCTCAACAACAAGACAAAGATAAAGGGTTTAATTGAAATTGTTGCCAATGCAGATGAGTATGAAAATCTTCCAATCAGGCATGGAGAGGCTGCCATTTTGAAACAGGTGAGCTTAAAACTTACTTTAAAAAAAAACAAACACCACTGAGGTATTTGTTGATTAAATTCTACTCTACAAAGCACTCTTTAACAGATCTGTTTCTAATATGGATCCAGACCTGTTTACTCTTTCGATTTTGGCGTGCAATTTACGATTTTGAGATATCTTTTATGATTTTACGCCAAGACCTGACAAAACTACAATTTTAAGAGGCCAGTTTTAAAATATATACATTCTGGTAATTTTTTTCAGATCTAAACAAAATAATTAATTAAAAAGTACATTTTCAGGTTGTTAATTTTAACTTAGATTTGCATTCTACGTACAGTAGTGAATGGATCAAGTAATGCGATTGTTAGGAGACCATCTATAACTATATTATGTTTGCCCTGAGAGGGGAATGGAGTGGTCGGGTGTTGATTTAGGAGATTTTGTTTACGGGATGGGGCTGTCGTCTAAATATTTCACTCTTCAAAAATTAACACACTGTATGTCCAACTTGGGCATGTGATGTATATTTTGTTGGGCTATGCCAGTGCTTCTAAAATTTCATGTGTGGTGCCTATGCCAAATCATGTTTTCACCAGGGGCCTTGTGTTACATTCTAACAAGTACACTTGGAAATAGCGAATATATAAACAAAATAAATAAAGGGTTGGGTACAAATGAATATAACACATATATGTAAATCATTAAGTGCCATACAGTAACTGCAAACAGTAATTACTCTAGTGGGGGGAGGGGCGATAGAAAATTTGACTTTTTGCGTACATACTATACAGTTTCTCCTCGCGTTTGTTTGCTTCGGGTTGTATGACATATTTTTGTGACACATTTATTTCTTACAGGTGGGGGCGAGTGAAGAGACAGAGAATACTAGAGAATGAATTTTCATTTGTTCCATGCAGCAACATTAGATTTTGACATATTTTTTAGGAACTGAGGGCCTTTAAAATCTGTTTTTAGAATGCACCAAACCGCTGTAAAATTTTTTACAAAACCCCCTCTTCCTTGCACTTATGTACAGCTTGTGATAGTTATCAGATTGTAATATGTTAAGGGGAAATAGGCATAAAGGATGTTGATGAATTTTTAAAACAGCTGTTCCAAAAATATAAATCTCAAGTTAATAGGTAGTTTTTAAAAATGTTAAATACGCCCTAATTGTTTCATTAATTATTATTTCAATAAATTTTATTTTATGCTGATCTGAATTTGAGTTTGAACCAGGTAAAATCTCACGCAAATATTAATTAATATCTATAGCAGGTACACATCAGAAAACAAACTGACCGCAGTGTGCAATATAAATGTCAGTAATGTACTTTTAGAAGTTACCTTTTTTGACGTCATCTCAATTCCACCTCGCTAGATGCGTGATGTGACTAGTTATGCATTATATATATACTGGATGTTTATTTACTATTAAGATACTATATTATATGATTTTGAGACAATATTGTACGATTTTTGGAGTTAGAGGGTAAAAAGGTCTGTGGATGATAGGACTGTTTTTGTAACACTGAAAGTTCCAGTGAAATTAACATTATGGACAAGTTTAAAAATGTTTTTTATTCTACAAAATTGTAACATAGCAGAATTTAAATCAAATTATTTTGTCATCTGCAGCTTGGCAGTCGCTTACCTAACAAGATAACTAATGCCAAGTTTAATGACCCTCATGTGAAGACAAACCTTCTTCTGCAAGCACATCTTTCTCGTATGCAGCTCTCAGCTGAGTTGCAAAGTGATACTGAGGACATTTTGAATAAGGTATGATAATTTGTTCTTGTTACTTTAGAAAAAAATTTTGATTTTTTGTGGAAAATGTTTGTAAAGGCTGCATTTAAATGACTAACAATGTTTACAATTGATTTTATGGTAAAGTAACAGTACTGGTAATATTAAAATTAATCATTCAAGGCTATCCGCTTGATCCAAGCTTGTGTGGATGTTTTGAGTAGCAATGGATGGTTGAGTCCTGCCTTGGCTGCTATGGAGTTAGCTCAGATGGTAACACAAGCCATGTGGTCAAAGGATTCATCCCTGAAACAGCTTCCTCATTTCACAGCTGAAATCATCAAACGATGCCAAGAGAAGGTAAACAAACAGCAATTCTTTTTCTGAAAGTTAGTGATTTAATTAAATCAGCATCCACTCATTTCAGTTAAATCAATAACTTGTTATAACATTTAGTTTTTAATATAATAACAAAATGCAAATAAAACTAATGATATTACAAGCGGTAGTACTAACCTGTACTGTTGTTACACGGCATGTTTTGTTTTGGCAGTGGTCTGGGTCTTCTCTTTCTTTTGTAATGTAATGGTATCTGTCTCAAGGTCTTAAGTTGTTTTCAGTTTCATCCACTGAAATATGAAATGTTAAAGTTAAAACTCAAAAGTTTACAAGATTTTAACTGCCTTCTATTTGCGAAAATAAATATGCATACTGCATACACAGTATATAATTTATAATGTTAGTAAAGTAAAGGAGTAAGTTTTTAAGTAAGGTTAATTTTGGAATTGGACATTTACGAAAGGGGGTGGGTGAAACACTAGGTACCGGTAACTAATTCTTAAAATTAGCTTTATAACTTGGAAAAAGAATAATAATTAACATTGCATCACTTTCTTATGCATCATACCATATAACTTTATTTATAAAATGGATTAGCTTTCGAATTTCTAGTTTAAAAAGGAACTCCACTAAAATTAAAGCATTCCGTTCACCCTCGGGACAATAATGCTTCGACCCAACATGAATGCTTCGAATCAACTGTATTATCAGAGTTTAATGATTCACTGCAGTTTTCCAAGCAAATTGCATAGCTAAAAAATAAATATCATTAAATATTTTAACATTCATTGAACTAATATAGTTGCCTTTTTTTTCTCTGCAATCGTAAAATAAATACAGATGATTTTGAAATAAAGCTTGATCGTCATTTTTCACTAGGCGTAAGAAACACGCATTAGTTATTGATAAGCCCACATTAAATTAACAAATATATGAAATAAAAAGCTTTCTATATAAATTAAACATTCCCAAATGAAACAATAATGTTTTAACTTACCTATTTCAGTTTAAAATCCATGAAAAGGCACTAAATTTAAGAAGATCGTAGATAAAATTAGTCATCACATACTGGTTTCATCGATCAGAGTTCGCCGTGGCGGGGTTGACTTGCACCTTTTTTTAGCAGAGGGTGTTGACTTGTTACCAAGCCTTTGCGGAATGATATCATAAATGGGGTGTTCACAAAACTATAACAGTTTTATAGAAAATTGGATGCCCTTTCTGGCTATATATTTTTTTAAGCTGTAAAGTGATTTTATCATCTAAAAAACTCAATTTTCATTTTTAAATCAATGTTTTTTAGCTTTTATTTATGGTTAACAGCTTCAAAAAATACATCATATTAAGGAACTACATTTCTACTTTCTAGATCAGTTGTTACTGAACGCACACGTAAAACGATACATTTCCGCAACGAGCTGGCGCGACCCAACCAAAAAATTTTTTTTTTTCTCCCCGCAGCGTAAATTTCGCCAGCTCATTTAGAAAACCTATTTTTATACACCCTATTGAGGTGGCATTCAGTCACCTGAAGCAACATTTTCATGAAGCAAATTAATTAATTGCCTTTTATAAAATAAAATTTATTTGACACTGTAAGTTTATGTATAAGTGTGAGTGTAAATAAGTGTATGTGTAAGTGTGTGTAAGTAAGTGTAAGTGTGTTTAAGTTTAAGTAACTTCAGAAAATCTTAAAAATTGTTGTTTTTTTTCTTCCAGAACTTGGAATCCATATTTGATATTATGGAGATGGAGGATAAGGAAAGAAGTGACCTGCTACAATTGTCCGAGTCTGAGATGGCAGATGTAGCAAGGTTTTGCAACAGATACCCAAATATTGAACTGACATATGAAGTGTTGGATAAGGAGACTATTCATAGGTGAACAATTAGCTACATTTCATTACCCTAACCATTGTTCAAGTTTCATGACATTTCAAATTATTTGGTTTCTTTTTGCTTTCTAAAAATACTCAAATTTATCTTATTAATGAGCTAATTAATTAAAATTGAAATTGCCTATTGTTAGTTAACACCATTGTTTTTAAATATTCTTTAATATTTCTGTTGTGTTAATTTTTTTCAGTGGCTCTAACATAAATGTCACAGTAACTCTGGAAAGAGAGGATGAGATCACTGGACCAGTCATTGCTCCATTCTTCCCACAAGTGAGTTTTCCAACAAAATGCTAAAGAATAAATATTTGGTTAAAAAATTAAATGTTACACCTAAAGCAATTAAATGTAATCTATTAGCATTAGACCCATTTTGTGATACATTTAATTTTGGTCTATTCCAGAAGCGTGAAGAAGGCTGGTGGGTAGTCATTGGTGATCCCAAGAATAACTCTCTTCTGTCCATCAAACGATTGACACTTCAACAAAAGGCTAAAGTTAAACTTGACTTCATGGCTCCAGCCCCTGGCCGATACAACTATGTCATCTTTTTCATGAGCGACGCGTACATGGGATGTGACCAGGAATACAAGTTTACCGTTGATGTTAAGGAAGGGGAAAGTGACAGTGACAGTGATTAAACTGTGAACAGAAATCATGAAATTATTGAGATCAAGCAGCAGCCTTTTACATACTTCATGTTTTTTATTTTATTGTCTTTATACAAAAAAAATTATGCTTAATGACAAGTTAAAATATCTTTTAATAAAATTAATTGGAATGTTTGGAACAAATGTTAGAACTAAAATAAATTGTTTATAAACATAAGGAAAATACTTGAAAGAAAGGGTAATTATATAAATTAATAATTTACATTTTCTTCTTTTCCCTACTTAACAGTTTAAAAATAATGGTTTTTGCTGTAAGATTTCATTTACACCTATTTCATTTCTAACTTGAGTAAAGATAATTGTTAAGTAGCCTACCAGAGTTATTATTGAATGTCAAAATATCTGATGTACTGTTATTTCATATTTTTGTCATCACTCCATACCCTTTAAAAATCAAAGCAAAAAGTTGCTTTTCTTTGATTCATTATTATATACTGGTAATAGATTCATGTTGAAAAATTAGAATTTTTAAAATATTTTTTTAAACTTCATTTTTAGTGTAAATAATTATGTCCTCTGATGAGCAACATGTTCTGTTTCAAAAAATAAACTCTAAAATGTTTATAATAAATTGTTTCTTCGTTATTTCGGCACACACAAAAAACAATTTTAAAAAATTTGAGTTAGGCATGAGATAATTTTATACCAGCAAAATATAAGTGAATGTTTCCCTGCAAATATTCACTCTTGGAAGCAGAGGTGTCGAGGGAGATAAATAAAATTTCTGTGCATGAAAACGAGCAGAATTTTTCTACAAATTTGGACTCAATTTTCTTAATTTAATGTAATTAAATGTTACACCAAGGATTCCTTTTTTGGTTTTAAGTTTTGGTATTAAATTTAAATTGAAATTCTAAACCTAATATTAAAAAAGTTACCAATGCTTGCGTTCAAAATAAATTGATTGAGACTTGAATAATGAATTATATGAGATATTATTTGGTGATGGGATTTAAATATACTTCAAAATGTCAAACCAGAAGTAGATTTTAAAAAATCTGAATCATTTACCTGGTAGTAGTACTTTTACTTCTATTAGTATAAAAGAAAGTACAAAAGCTGGTATTTCTTTCAATTAAAAAAATGTCTACTTAAATACTTAAAATTGAGAATAAATGTGACTTTTTTAAAAAGAATTGGAAAAAATGACTAAGAAGGATGCTATAAATGCAATCTATATATAATCTTTTTATAATCTAAATATGATTTATTCATACTCAGTTACGCATTATGTGGCATTGGACCAACAGATATTAAATATTTGTTCCCCAATCTTGTCAGAATTTACCAACGTCTAAAATAACTTATTGTCATTGGGATAGGTAATATTCTTTCATTTTTATCTAACAGTCTAACGCCAACGATAGGTTAGCTAACGCTTTCGTTTAGATTCAAACAATGTAATAAATATTCACTATTTATTTTAATAAGTCATAAGCAACAATTTTCAGACCTTGATATTAGTTCAGCAACATTTTTTTTACTGATTAAAATAACATGTTTGATTGATTTTTTTGTTTGTTATTAGATTTTTTTGTCTATTGCCTCAAGCCTTCAAACCCCTAGTGCATGATTTCCTCATCAACACCAGTAACAGAAACATTGCAAATCCCATCTACATGCATAGGAGCCAAAATGATCAATAAATTGATCGTGGGCCCTTAAGATAAAGAAGAAGAAGTTTCGGTAACTAGAAAAAAAACAAGGTTGTTTTTTAGTATTTAAGGGAAGCAACTCTTAACAATAATGAATGGTAATTACCCGCTAAATTTAGAGCTGCATTGGATAAGATTGTACAAACTTCGTCAGTAATAATAACGCAAATGTCTTTAGACGAGCATAAAACGCCACGAATTAGCGGAAAACTCCTTCCAAATTACATTGGGAAATCTGTATGTTTACTTGGGTCGGCCAAATACGTGAGTATGCTATTACTATTGAGCCTAGGCTAGTTAGTGTCACTAAAGTCTAAAAAAAGTATAATGTAGAGTATAAGTATAGTCTAGTAGAGACTAGTACTAGAAGTGACAGAATCACTCGCCTTGCCGTTATAAATGCCGTAATCAAATTTAGAGACGCCCTAGTGCTAGGGACTGTAGGTGTCAAAAAGAGGGAGCCCTTCGCCAAAATATAACAAAAAAATAAACTAATTCCTTTGACTTTACAAATAAAAAAGGCTAAAACCGAGGACAGCTGCCACGGCGTCTTTAGTGTCTTTATTATAGTTGCAGTGAATTTGAATTAGGGTTTAGGCTAGGTTTAGAGATCGATTTAGGTTTCAGGTTAGGCATAGGGATCGATTTATTGTTCAGGTAAGGCATAGGGATCGATTTAGGGTTCAGGTTAGGCATAGGGTGACAGGCCCGCCGGATGAATATCTCTCCCACTATTCATCCGGTCGCCGGATGTGTAGACACTGCCTTGCTTTTATCGAAGCGAAACTGCAATCTCCAAATCATTCTTCAATCATCAATTGATCCGATCGAGATTCACCGTTTTACTCAGCTAAAAAATAATACAGTTGTGATGTGACTTTTTTTGTTTGTTAAAGCTTATCTTAATTAAAGGGATAAATCTATTGGAAGTGGTGGGTACAATGATATTAATAAACATATTTTAACACCCCCCCCCCTCCAAAAAAAATAAAAAAACAACAACAAAAAACAAACAAAAAAACCAACAACATACAACTGCAGCTAAAAACAGTGAATCTACGATCACCATGTCTAATTTCTTTGCTAAGGAATCAGACGACTCTATTATCAGATCGGAGGTTTTGTTTACCACCTTTCTTATTGGAGGAAATGTTTTTCTAGCCAACGCCTCGTTTTAATGCCAGGGTCAAAGTAATGGAAAACTGAACTCTTAGCAGCCTGTGTACATATTTAAATAACATGGATATTCTGTTCAGTATATAAACATTTCCAGTAATGTTTTTCTCATGTTCTGTGGTGTTCTATGGCCTCTTCAAAGACAATGGAGGTAATTTTATATTTCTGTGTTTACTAAAAAGACGTGTGCATTAGTATGTAGTTCTTAAACCAATGACACCCCCTGGCGCAGCGCCACCTACAGATTTTATTCCTTGGCAGGTTGGCAGGTCTGACTCGGGGTTTAAGGCTTGAGGCAATAGAAACAAATGTGTCTAGTGTTGTCGCCTCAACAGTTCCTTTTGAAAGATTGTTCCAGTCCTTGATTGTCTTGGGCAGGAATGAGCAGCTCCTATACTGGCTTCTTGCTGGTATGAGCCTGAATTGCCTGTCATGGCCTCGTCGCTGTTTATGGGGGAGAGGGACAAGTTTCTGTTTAATACTGGAACAGTGGACCAGCCCATTATTTATCTTGTACATCATGGAGAGCCTGGATTGTCGTCGTCATTCCTCCAATGGTGACCAGTCTAGTGTTTCCAGCATGCTGCCAACACTAGAGGTATTCCTGTAGCGGTTTAGGACAAAGCGTGCTGGACCGACTCCAACCTGTCGATGCCTTGCAAAATATAAGCATGCATTTTTATTTTAGACTTAGACTAAGTTAGAATACATGTCTTACTTACTTGCACTTGCAGAATTTTATTAATTTTTATGGCCTAAAATAAGTCCTAACAAAGTTTTGTGTGGGATTCCTTTGTGAAAAGCTGTATAAAATATTCTTCTGGGGCTGCTTTTATACGTATGCTTCTTGACATATTTCAATGTCACATATTTTTATTTTAAGCATTTTTATAGGGCTCGCTTGACTAGGTTCATAACAAAATTCATATAAAATGACAAAACACTACAAACCATCAACGGAAGCCGCCATTGAATGACGAGATGAGGGAGAAATGCAAAAAGCAATCACGAGGCTTTTATCATTGGGCAGATGGTTTGGCCATTTGTCTTTCAAGAGTCTTTGACTCTGGGCTGATAGTAGGCACCTCAATACCCATTGGCGCACGCGGTCTGCGCATATCCAAAACCGTAAAAAAAACTTGTTCTACAATATGGCGTACTGCTTCACGGTATCTTTGGAAAATTGCATACTACATCACCTTTGTTAATGAAAAAATTGCTTTCCTCATCAGTGACGTATCAGTCTTTGTTTTCTATGAAATTTACGCAACGATTTATCTTCTATGTCGCGTACAGGATTATCATAGCGATTCGGTAAGCATATATCTTAATATACTCCTTTGTTAGTTAAAAAATAGAAATGGAGTTTAAGTTAATGGAAACTACGTTCAATTTACAAGATTAAATATTTCTATGTTATTAAAAATGTCGCCATGTTAAAAGTTAATTATTTTTCTATCGAGATGCCGGAAATGGCTATTATCACTGTCAATTATGAATTTAATTTAATCATTATTGTTGAATCCCTTAACATCTGAATAATACTAAATAGTTTCAAATTAATAATTTTACAAAATTAAATAAAACATTTTAACTGAACTTGAAAAGTTTTTAGATGGGAATCAGAGGGTTGTCATTAGTTTACTGTAGGTTTATTACAAATTATGTTAAAAAATTGTGTATAGGTCTACCAATTTTATCGGTTCTCTTTTTAGAATCAATAATTGATTGTAATGTTGATTGTAATGTCATTCAATATTAATGCTTAATCCAATGGGATTATGTCACTAAAATGAGTCCTACTTATAAGTTATAACAATAAAAATTGTTATTATTATAGTCCATTTAGGCATCAGATCATACGCCTAATTACTAATCTTCTTACAAGCCTAATTAAAAGCTGCATTTTAAAAATTTAATAAGGTATTTAATTATATATATTAATGAATTGTTAATTTAATATTATATTTTAATACTGTGTGTTTTTACATATATAGTAAGAAGGTTTACATAGACAGACAAATATTTAATATATAAAAAAATAAAATAAAAAAAAAAATAATAAGCTCAAAAATTGAATATTAAAAAGAAATTAGATAGTGTGTACATTCAGGATTATAATTACATTTCTAATTAAGTGTTATGGCTATGCTTCTTTCAGGTAAAGGGTACGTAAGAAAATTAAAATTTTCTATTGAAATTTTCTATTAAAGAACTTTCTGGAATTCCGTCCATCAACTATGAGGCACGTTTGGATGCATATGGCAAAGATAATGTTGGGACGGAGATAACGTGGGATTCATCACAAGATCAAGCAGTCTACATCGAAAATGACAGGCAGAACATCCCCATTACCTTTTAAAATTTAATCTCATACCTGTACTGGTATGCTCGTATTAGTCTTGTCTTATGAGTGATTTTAGTCATTTTTATAAGTTCATGCATTCAATTTTAAATTTAAAAAAAGACTTCTACTTAACTTTTATAATTATAAGAATGTATTTTAAATATAACTGAATCATATATTTAATTAAAATACAATGAACATTATTTTTTTGTTTTTGCCTTTACAGATAATAATTTTTCCAATTTTGCTGTTCATGATTTTAACATACCCGCAAAGAGAATTATGCATAATAAAAAGTCTTGAAGTAATGTAAAATTGTTGTTGTTCTTTGTGTTGTATATTAGATTGGGAATGTCTCCTGAAAATTTTGTGCAATTATCTTTAAAATAAAAACGTTGTGGGCAAAATAGTGCAGAAATTTGAAATTTGGGTTACATGTTTATAGGGCTTGTCATTTAATGGTGGAAATCTATTAATAGAATTGATGTCACCATTACTGATCATCCAGGTACTTAGCTTGGACAAAATGTCAACACTGTTCAGTATTACTATGTTAGCGAAGTGTCCCTGTAACTTGTTTACAACTCTATTTTACGAAATATTTTACAAATTTTTTTTTTTTACTTCTGTTTTCTCAAATGCGACTTCATTGCGTGAACGTCATATGTAACAGTAACTCTTAGATACAAGGATCGCCCGAACGATATGCTGAAACACACTATAAACTGCCATGTTTTAAGCAATATTTGTCCGCGGACCTTCTAAAAATAGTACGCTATGACGTTTTCCGGTCTTAGAAATGACAAAGCCTATTGGGGTAAAATATATAGATTATATAAAAAAAAGGGGCATAAAAATCCCAAATTAAAATCATAACTCCACTTCTATAAAGGATAGAAAGATGAAATTGGTGTTTTTATAAAGCATAAAACTAGCCCTTTAAAATAAAATGGTGTATCATTTGTGGCAATCTGACAATATTTAAAATTTGTGTCTAAGTACCTACTGATAGATGAAGAGGGTTAAAAATAAAATTTGCTATAAATTATAATATAGCCTAAGTAAAAGTAGCTCTAAGTCTAAGACTTATTGCTTAGTGGACCAAGACAGTAATCTTGTATTCTTGGGCAATAAATATAAAATGAATTACCCTTATTTGCATAATATATGCATGCATGTCTAGTGGACATAATTAAGCAATTTAAATTTAAAACCCCTATTTACCTAATGGAACTGTGTTAAAACATTCCAATAGTTGATAGAGCAACTATTTATTGTTTTCCAATTTGTTTTTCATGTGTTTTTGTTGGTTTTTTAGGGTGAGGTGGACTGCACACTCTTTAAAAACAATAACAACGTACACAGATTACTATTTTTTGTTGACTTTCTATTTTACATGTTGATAGCCTTTAATATTCCTTAGGTTGACAGTAATGGAAAGTTTTTTACTCTTACAACCTGTGACAAGCAAGATGTTCAAATTCTGATGCAAGAACAGGTACAATTTATGCTCAGAATATATCATCCAACATGACATAAGTGTTCTTTTTGCAATTACAGTTTAACAATGATGAATGTAAATAAAACTTCTGTTTACAAAAGGAAAGTATTTGAAAATGAAAGTAAGCTCTTTTTTCCCCCTTAGCCAAGTCAACTTATTTCAGGACTAGTAGAGGTTCATGGCGACATCAGTTCCAAGAACACAGTTCAATGTAACAACATTGTTGTGTTTCCTGATAATGCATCTGATAACTTTGGTAAGTTTAATTGCTACATTGAAAAATTATTGCAACAATTTTTCAAAATAACATGATTTTTAAATAGAATTATAATTTTTTTTTTTGGTAGTTTCTCAAATTTTATAAGGTCATCTTTATATAGCGAGTGAACGATTCATTTCATTGAATAATTTACTGATATATTGAAACTTATTATTTCAGAAATTATTTAATACAGGGTATAAACTATATATGTTTTTCGGCCACTTCCTCAGATTTTTCTCTGTACCAAAAGGCTGTGGAGCTCATTCATTGTTGTCCCAATCATTATGTGCAAGGAGGAAATATTGAAGACTGAATTACCTTCATGCTTATTTTGTAGAGATGAAATTAAATTAATTAATAAACTTTTTCTATAAGATTTAGTGTTTTATTTAAAACAATTTATTTTTAGAAGTAGTACCCTTAATTGTTTAAGGACAATTTCGCTATCTAATGTTATGTGGTCAGGGGTAGTAGAATATAGGGCGCCATGTCACTTAGATATATTTGCAAAAAGAATATGCTGGGTTCTGAGATAAAGGAGATGCCTCTTGTATAATGCCCTTTATTTTTAAAAAATATATTTTTTTTTCAAAGTTTTATTTGCAATTATTTGTTTTTTTTGGGTCATTCACACAAGCTATATTGCAAAATTATTTGGTCTTTTGGGTCATTAACATGTATTTTTGTGTCTAGTAATTTGTTAAGACTGTCCAAAATAAATATGAGGGGTTAAATTCTTCTTTAAAAAAATAGGATTCACTACCAGTAATTGCATTCTCTTTCTTTCTTAAAATACCCCACTAGATCCGCAGTCCCCATACTTTAATTTAAAGGAGAAAGCAACTCCAGAATTAGTAATAACACATTTTATTCATATTTATAACAAATTATAGTTCACATCCCCTAACAGAAATAGAACAGATTATCACATGCACCCAATTTCGAATAAAGTCACTTGATCATTTGGACAACATAGTTACATGTTAATATCTTATTTAAGTAGTGGATTATTGTTATCAAATTATTTGATTAAAAGTTAATTTAACTTTTTAAACACTTTAAAAAAAATGTTAAAAAGACATAGTCATTAACACATAAGTATCAGAATGTGATGGCATCCTGTCCTAGAAATACTATCACAATATATTCTGGAAGTTAAATAAGTGGTAGGATAGCAAGTTGTAAAGAAGTGGCAGGATGGCATTTTAAAATACGGTAATCTGTACTTCTGATAATTAGCTTAACAAATGAAGGCAAAGGTTAACAACATAAAAATATTTAATTGTTCTAAAAACAATCATTAACAATTCAATTTTAAAGATGTGATTTTAAATTAAAGAATGCCAATACTTTTGTCTAGACTCAACAATGAATGAATATTTTGGTAATGTTCAACTTCAAGGAGTGTAAATATATAGAATTGTGTATTATAAAGGAAAGGACTATCACACAAATATCCAAATTCTTTATCTTTCCTCAAATCACACATAATCGAGATGAACAGCCATTGTAACATTGCACCTTTAATAAATAGGAACTCAGTTACACTTGCCCATTTCCAATATATAGTTCAATTAATGATAATACATTTTTCTTAATATTTGCACATAATGCAATACTGTGAATACAAAAGGGATTTTCACAATTTATAACTGCACAAGGTAAGTTTAAAAAAACATAAGAATACAACCAAAATAAAATAATGCCAAATTGGTTTAGTTTAACTTGTAGGCTAAAAAGTGAAGCAAAATTTTGTTTAATGACAGGCAGGAATGGTATTTAAATAAATTACTGCTGTCCAAGTTTAGAAGAAACTGTCTCATCTTTTTTACCCAGGCCTTGAAACATAGGATGACTGACTGAATCTTGTACAACACATTTACATGTACAACCAGTAACTGGACATTCACTGTGTTCGCTTTACAAATAAAATAAAATTTACATGTGAAAATAATTCAGTGAGGCCTTTGTTTACACAAAATACCAATACATACAATTAAATTATTTAGATGCAATGATAGATATACTATGCTTTAAAAAATAAAAGTGCATTTTTTCTGTTCTTAAAGCTTAGCTTAAAAGCAGTGGCTCTCAGCCTTCCTAATGCCGCAACCCTTAAAGAAAGTTCTTCATGTTGAGGCTATTTTAGTTGCTACTTCATGAATATGTGTTTTCCGATGGTCTTAAGCGGCCCCTGTGTAAGGGTCGTTCAACCCCCAAAGGGGTCGCAACCCACAGGTTGAGAACCACTGGCTTAAAGGCTAAAATGTGCCGTGTATGTATGTTTAGCACATACTGTGACTGAAATAGATAAAATTTTGCTTGTACCGGTAGGTACATTTAGTACAGATTGCAGCTGAAATAGATAAAATGTTGGTTATATGTAGGTAACGAATAAAACAGCTGAAAGAAGCTCACCTAAACCATTGTATGAGGTGCGCAGCATGTCCACCGTGTCTGCATGTCTGACACCAAGTAAACCATTCCTGAAACGGGGTCAGCTTGGCTCCACTGCCTGTTTCAACAAAACAGGGGTGACTTATCATGGCTTTAAGTCCAAAATAAATATTATATCCTGCTTCAATTGTTTAAATAAATATTGATTTCTCCTATTTACAAGTTAAATGTGTATATATAAGCATGCAACCAAACTCAGTGTGGAAGATATAGTCCAAATGGTCTGGCTTGATATGAGTTAAAGTTTAACATACATACCAGATTCCAGACCTGTCCCTGAAGGTGTTCCCATGTGAGTTAAACAAATAGCACATCTTGGCAGTGCTTTTCTACAGCTTGGACAACAGGTAATCTAGTTAAATAAAACAAAGTGTCTACATGTCAGACAACCGGATGAATAAGTTCTCAAGATATTCGTCCAGCGACCACGTCACATGACTGCCGTAACAAAGTTGCGTGAGATATTTGTCCGTCAGCCTTGTCACATGACCGCTAATACTAATAATAGTCGATCTGAAAAATGGCATCGGAGATGTATGTGGGCGACGAGTTTAATTTATTTCAACAAATAAGGGGGTGGGGGGGGGGAGTGATGCACTGGGGGGTGGGGGAAGCGATGCATACTAGAAGGAAGAAATACTGAGAGCGAGAGAGAAAGGATAAAAATGATAGTGAAGGTGATAAATAATTAAGGCGGGGAGGTAGATAGTTCACAAAGAAATAGACTCTAAATATAGGGCCAATATAGTGTGCTGCTGGGGTAGCCTTCTTCTCACGCAATATTAAAAGCCTAAAATAAAACTTGTTTGACGTAGGTCTATTGAAAGCTCGTACAGCTGAGACACGCAGGCTTGTCCGAAAGAGCAACATTAGGTCATCGTCTGAAGCAACTATTCCATGCCCACGGTGTCATAGATTATTCCGAGCAAGGATCGGTCTAACAAGCCACCTAAGAGCTCACCGTAATCCCAACCCCCCC